AAAGAAACAAGTAAAAATCCTACAATTGTGGCGAAAAAAGCCATTGCCCATTGCATGAAAAGAAGCAAAATAGCAATGATAACAAATAAGCTGACTTCTCTCTCGTGAACCGTGGAGATGAACTATGATATACTTTTTTGTATTGACTAAAGAGTTTAATCGATCAAACAAGTTTGACGCTGGTAAGAAAACGACGCACATCTGCATTCATACATGTGTAGCCGACATATAGGTCTTTCGTCGATAGCTATAAATGCATCCTCGTCGGAGCAGATAACTGACAACAACAGTTGACTCGCTGTTATGAATTTAAGGTTTTTACCTTGATTTTCATCAAAAAATTGCTTGCCGAATCCCAAATACACATACATTTTCCTCACTCTTTCCTCAGGGGAAATTGTGAAATTTTCAGAAAAGCGGTCAATTTCGGTAAATCTCAGCGGCAAAGGACGAAATTCGCCATTTTTTTGGCATCATCAGATATCAAAGGCCGCGCTTGAGATAGCCGCTCCAGTTATTATAGAACTCAATGGGCTTGACTGGTTCGACGGATAAAGGAGTCTATGAACGCCAAAACGCTTATTTCATTAGTCAATAGCCAGATCAGTGGACGATCTGGAATAATCTCGACCGATAAGCGGAGTGGCCGGACCTATAGCATAGAATAGAGAATATATAGAAGGGCAACTCGCGTCGGTAACCTTTGATGTAAGCGTGGCGCGCAGTTTGTTTCGCGCATACCGGAAATGTGACGGCCGCCATTACTCTGGCCAGTAAAGTGTACAACATTTACTATGAAAATATATGGAGTGGAAGCCGTAAAGTGGGTTAAAATGTAGATTTTTTGAGCTGTTGGCTGTTTTTGGCATCTTTTTGAAAGAAATTGAAATAAAAAGGCAAGTGTTTAGTATATATCATGTAACAAATGCATTTATGTAATATATTTATAGCGAAATTCAGTCGTAAAGCTTGAACAGGTTCTGAGGTTCACAAGTCCTGAGTACTTAAATGAACTCGGATGTATTACATGTTAAATATATTATTGTGATATAAAAGCTTTTGTTTTCAATTTAGTTTTATAAAGGACAAAAAATTATATGCACAAAGCCCTCAAAGTTGTGTGACTTTAATGTACTTTCTGTCTTTCTTTTTAGTTGTTGCGAATATGCGGTTCGCAAATTTTATGGCGTAATAAATGTGCATTCTTACAAAAAGTTTCTGCAAGAACTCAAATGGGAATTCCGTACAGCAATCAACTTCCTTTGGTATGGACTTGACAGTCAGACCTGCCAACCCAAAGGAATACAAAACCTTGAGATTAAGGCAGAAAACCGTGAGATCTGGCAAAAACTGGAGATTTCTATTCTTGTATACGGCATATTTTTGATTGATTTATTAGGCAAATGGCAATGATTACCTCAAGTGTAATGCACAAAATTTTAACTGGCCGCCATTTTGTGTTACATAATTATACGAAAAACGAAAATCAATGTCATGCCCAGTTCCGGCGCACCGCGGCTACAATACGTTATCTTTTGAATGCTATTCATCGAGTATTTCTTTCCATGCGATGAATAAAAATGCCAACAAACTTCTAAAAGCCTAAGCTTTAAAAAAACCGGGAGATTTAGTATCTTTGTCGGGAGGTCGGGAAAAATGCAGCAAAAGCGGGAGTCTCCCGGCGAAACCGGGAGAATTGGCAGGTCTGGACAGTGTCTAATATACTTTGACCAACACCTTCGCTCTTTGTGTAGACAGAAAACGTCTTAATAAATGTGTCTTCAAGTTTAATGTGTATTCCAGATAAGGAGAAGATGGTGATTGTAGTCCTCCTAAATCAGATTTCTTTTCATTGAATGCTTTAAAGTGGCAGAATAACTTTCTGCTATCATCCAGTTCTGTAGATGAAAGAGCATTGGTGCATTTCAGACAAGAGTGGAGTTTGAAACTCTTCATTAGAAGAAAACCAGACACATATGCAATGGCATTTTCCCTCATTATGTTAGTAACAACATTTGGCCCCTTGCAGTTAGTAGGACCAATTGCTAAAATTTGTGGTTGCGGAGGTGGAAAGACTTGAACCGTTTTCTTCTGGCTGACTTTATTCTTTGCTACATTTTTGGAATACTCAACCAGCATAGAATCAAGGTCGTTGTCACAATTTCCAGATGAACAGGTTAGAAGGGGACTGAAGAAAAGCTTTCTAAATGCTTGCATAAATTGGGTTGGAGTGGGGTTATCACTATTGCCTCCTTGGCGACGATTAGTACCAAAAATGGAAAATGTACAACTTTATAATCTCGAATCAAAAAGTTGCAGTAGAGACACACACGTGAGAAAGATCCACAGCAAACCCAATATACAATGCTTTGGGCGATTTGAGAATTGAATAACATTGGAAACTTATTTTGATAAAGACATTTCTGAATGAAAAATATTACAAAATAACAGCAATATAATAAATATCATATTTTCTTAATGGTTACAAGGCTAAAAACGTGTCTTTGTCATTAAAGATTTACATGGTGCAGAAAAATCTTTAACACAAAACAATTTAAATTTAGAATGTGTGCATTTCATGCAATAGAATATAAAGAATAAAATACAGCAATTCAGTACACATATTTGCATTTAAAAAATTTAATGACAACTTTATTCAGAGATGGATATAAGAGAGGGGTGTGCAGCCCTCCTAGCTTAAGCTAGATGGGGGTGCAGAAGAAATGCTAATTTCTCTATAAATATTGGTATACTAAACAATTAAGCTGAAGAAATTGTGATCAATGTTTAAAGTGGTTATATCACGAATTTTAGCCCCCCTTTTTTATGAGCTTAATTGAAAATTTGGGTTATTTTAAGAACTATGATATGTCGCTGGACTTAAACAGATAAATATAAGTTGCTTAATTTTGCCTCCAAAGTCGGGTACTATTTGCGAATTTTTTACGACGCCATATTGATACTTGTGACGTAGATAGTTGAACACGTCTGTTTCCGTCAATATAATATTATATTATAGAAGGTGATTTTGTTGTCGTTTTTCTTGTCTTAAAAACAAATAATGACAGTATTTTCAATAAAATATTAAAAAACAAGTTGTCCGGAAAGTATGGCCTCAAATCAGTGCTCAGATAATTCGAATTCGATGTCTGAATGCGTATCTGATTCGAGCTCGGAATCCGTGGGTTATGTCGAGCATTTAAACGACTTCGCATATGACGATGAACCGCTAGCAGGAGATGGTGATGAAGTGCATACTCCAGATGATACCGATGGAATTCTCCCTGCGACATTAGAACAACGAAGTGATGGCGTAACTCCACTTGGTGAATGGTAAGTTGTTGTTTTCTCCTGTTTGTAATATACATAAAGTTACTTTATAAACCAGAATGCTCCCACGTTTCAGGTGTAATTGTTAATGCTGTCATACCGATTTGTTAGAAGGCGCATTAGAGTACAGATGCTGTAAGGAAATTGGACCAGCTTTGCAGAAAATGACATTCGATGGCGGCATTGAGAAAATATCATGCATAACACAGCATGCCAAATTTGGGCCTTTAGTTCATGAGGCTGTCCTTGAAAACGTCGGGCCACTATTGAGAGATAGGAATGGACGTGCTTATCGCCGCTAAGCATCACAATCATTAAATATGTAAGATTGTAAATTGTATGAGAAACAATGTTATAATCAACATTGTTTCATCAGCAATAATTAGTCCAACCTTTTTATTTACTTCAGGTACTTGAGAGCTGTGGCATAAAGATGGTTGATGCGATGGTTTTGTGGGTCTATGGGATGGGAGAATACTCGGCCTTTACCTGCTTGTGTTTACCACTTTATTCGGAAAGCATATCCAAGTGGTAACACAACACGTTACATACCATCAGAGGGGCGATGATGGAATAGTCTTTTAACTTGTGCACTGTAGAGACTGTTGACCTTCTTTGCTGAGTTTGGAATGGTCATGAAATATGCCTAGATGAAAACCAAATAGGAGATACATGGATGCACTATATAATTTGACATGCAGTTTAATGGTTTGAAACAAGAGTAAACAATAAAAACAAATTGGTGCAACTACTGAGAGGTTAAGCTGAAAGAATTAAATGAAAGAAAATCTTTTCTTCAATGTCAGTCTGGGAAAAAAAGACAAAAGAAAAAATATATGGAATTAAATCATAGCATAAATGTAAAAATGGAAAATAGCAAGCCGTTCAAATGGCGAATCGTTTGCTTCCCCAGTGCATACTTAAACATGCTCAGCTTCATCACTAGTAGATGGTACTTCCTCATTGAGAGAACATGTTTCTTTCAGCGATGGCTTATGGAGAGTATGTCGAATAATCTACAAAACTTATATCGAATTTACATATGACAAAAGAAAAATTAACATAAACAAGCGTAAACTTACTTGTCTTCGCTTTCGATCGGTTATTTCGTCCTGTAATGGTTCAGGAATCCCTGCCACGTCAATGGTTGGGATAGCATCTTTCTTCAACCTTCTTTTGAGCTTGACTTACACGCTCAAATTAAGGTCAAAACAAGAATCTTCAAAATGCGCAGAACACAGACACGAGGTAGAGGAAGCCTCAAAACCCGGTCTATGTTTACGCACAAAATTTACCCATTTTCTATGTCTTTGCGGCTCTGTTTCTTTTTTAGGAAACAGATGCATCGACATTCCTTCGGTTTTTGAATCATTGGCGCAACTAATTTGATTAGGTCCGCCAGCAACACAGCGTTTTCCTCCGCGTTTCTTATTAAGATTACTAGTAGAATACGCCATGTTGATATATGTGTTCAACTTTCTACGTCACAAGTCATTAGCATACCGATCAAAAAGTTCGCAAAAAAAATGCTGAAAATCGTGACTTTGAACGTCCGTAAAATCACTTTCACCAATCCAATTTCAATTATACTTGCAGATTTAAAATCACTGAAACAAGGTCTTTCAATTTAGCTAATAAAAAAGGGGGGCTAAAATTCGTGATATAACCACTTTAATAGAGCACCCTTACAAAAACCACCCAATCATAATAAAAACGTAATAGAATTTAACAAACAAAGTTTAACATGCTACTGCAACAAGTAGCCACTAAAATCTAATCCAACATACTAAAACTACATAACACAAGACACTTGCAACATAATCCTCACTTGAGAACTGAATGCCAAAATAACAACTAGAAAAAAATATCAGAAAATCAATCATAACTATTGGTAATAAATTTAATAGAGCACAAATCACAGCAAGGCAAAATTTATAAATAAAGCAAACAGAGTCTATACCTCACTAAAACTACATTTGGTATTAAAAATGCCCAACTATTAACATATTAACATTTCACTCATGCTTAAATGATAAACAAACCCTCCATGGTTTGAAACTGAATGTTGCAAATTATTATCAGTTATAATTCACACAAAAGCATCATGAATCATTATTGGATTACTTGGTTACCTGTTAGATTTAACTTGATTTATAGTTTAGCAAGTTGGCAAGTTGCAACCTGAAATATTACAGCGTTGGTACAAGTAAAACTCTGAGAAGTTTGTGTTTTAAATAATACGTTTATAATAACACCTCAAAAGTTTGAAATTTATAATTCAGAATGGACGAAAATGCAAGAGATTTTACTTCTGGACTTCTATTCACCTAACATACTGACAACTCTACAGCAGTAAAATAAACACCCTACATTGAAAGATGTAATTTTACCAATAAAAACCCTTACGGACTTGCCAGCAATTAAATAATGGTCTCTCACCTTATTTCTTTCGTTTTGTCACAAAATTCCATGATCTTCCAAAACAGTTTGCGTTTTAGGCGATTATTATCCCAAAATCGCACTTTTCCAATGTTATTTTATGGGGAATGCTATAACCCGGGCGATGATCGGGGACGCGCCTGTTAACTTCCTGGTCAGCGGCAAAAGCCTTGACATAACAATCGCTATAAGTACAATATGTTTCTTGTTTAAAATTTCATAACACAAATCAACACAAAGTATACAGCACAGCGCCCACATTGTATTATATGTTCATTTGGCTTTTACAAAATATGCGGTCTTTTTTATAGCGAATGTTACTGCAAACGCGCATTGTGAAGTATATTATTCTTTGTTATTGAGCTTGCTTGTACTATGTTCTAAAAGATATTGATGATGCTCAAAAGTATTCTAATCCTAAGTATTCTGCTCAAAACCGGTCGTCATTTTTATAACAAATGTTGCTTCAAACGCGCATTGTGACGTTAAATTTACGTATGAGATTAAATCTAGAAGCTACTACTTAGATCATAGGAAATGGCCTGTCCTCAATGCCTATACTCATTATGCTGAATATTCGCGCACTTTTCATTCTTACGTATATGTTCTTGCGTTTTTCAAGTGCTTTATCGGTCTCGCCTCAACTGCACCTAGATAGCCTATCTTTAATTTATATGTTCAATATTCGCGCACTTTTCATTCTTACGTATAGGTACTTGCGTTTTTCAAGTGCTTTATAGGTCTCGCCTTAACTCCACCTAGTTAAGAAAAAATATAAAAACCTCGCATCAAAAGTGAAAAAAATAGTGGGCACATTACTGGCTCGTGGAATGAAATTCATACAAAGACGTATAAGCGTTCTAGTGTTTGCTCTGACTCATTATTAAACATTTCAACAGACTAAAATATATTAAGGAACAAATTTCGTGTTTCATACTCAGTATATGGCGCAGACAATTCTTCAGCGTGAATCTGCAGAATGCTCAAATAAACAAGTAAACTTCCTTAGAGAAAAACTCGCAAGTGTGCAAATTCTGGAAAATTACTGCACAGGATACATTGATGGAACGGTGGAGCAAATGGAAGAACTTCTTGAACAGTTTCAGGTCTCGTAGTTTGTTTTCAATTGTTGCACCATACTGCAAACAATTTGTATTCCGAAAAACATCATCATGTAAACTCAAAATTTCAGTTATAATAGCAAGAAACAAAATCTAAAAGCAATATTTTGACATTATTTCATAGTCATTATAAAGCTAATATAGCTAAGTTTACAAGATCATGTTTTTTGAAGTATGTTTTATAATTTACTTCTTCAAATTGTCGGCTTGAAAAGGTTTTTGTAATTGTTGAACAGTTAACTTTCAAAGGCCGTAATACGTAAACCTTGATAAATTGATTTCACGCGTTAATATATTTGAAAAGTGAAAGAGGTTTTTGCATTTAGGTAATTGATTCTATCTCGTTTGTGAAAGCTGACAACCACTCAAAAACAAGGGGCAATAAACGTTTTTCACTTACAGGTAATCAACTCAACCGCATCAAGCATCTTACCCCAAATTAAAGCGAGAAAACACCAAGAAATTTTCAACCGACGCATAAATTGGGCAGCCAAGCCTGCTACATTTCTTTAATATTGCATGACCAATTAACATTTTATAGTCGCAAAGACATTCCATTATGGAGTTAGAAGAATCGAATCTAACAGTCATTTCTATCTATATTAGCAAAAAACTCATTAGGAAAAAACCGTTCAATGACTCGCCAATTATTTTGCTATCTCTTTTAAATACATTTTATTATCTAACATATGCATAGCTTAGCATAATAAGAATGTTTTACTGGAAGACAAACAAAATGCTGAAAAAACATATCATTTATTTTTTCTAGCACCGCCAGTGTTTGAAAGCAAGAAGGGAGATATTCCAATTGAGTTTTTTGGAAATCGGTTTTTGATTGTGAGCAACGAAACAAGACATTGTTTACATGGGAGCGCGAAAGTATGTATTCTTCGTTATGATATTTAAGATTTATTTGTGCACAATTTGTCTTGACACCACACTGTATTATTTTAAAAAACTTCTCAGGACAACAGAGGCACTCGCAGACACGACGTAAGGGACGGATTCGATTACAGAACAGTAGAAAACTGGATTGCCCAGCACAAGTGCAAATAAGACAAGTCAGAGTATTTCTCGACTACTACATCGATCGAGAACAATTTACATCAGAAAACAGCTTGATTATGGCAAAACGGAGAGTATTAAGGAAAAAATGGATAACGATTCCTCCTCACAGCTTCGCACCAGCAGTCGTTTTTACCTAAAAATACCTTTTAGTAGTGCTCATTCAAGTCACGCCATTGGTGCCACGGCAACTGTTGGGCAGCGAATAGATTACCGACTGGTCACGAAAGTCTAAAGTTTGGTAAAACGCAATGTAATCAAAATCTCAGAATGTAGATATGGTGAGTTTGCAGGGTGTTGCAATCGATAAAGTCGATTGCAACACTCTGCATGTGTGTTGCAATCGTAATCATTCACGCTCGTCATATATTCCACATCGCTGTACAATCCCGCATGAATGTTTCCCATTTTTAGGTTAACAAGGCCCTGGGTCATGGTGCATCCAATGAACTTCTCGTGGAGCTTTCTATTGGTCGGGTAACTAGAGCTGACATCATAACGCTGAGACCTCAAGCAATGCTTAACAACGAGGTCGTGAACGCATATTTCCATATGATTGCCGAGCCTAGTAAGAAAATTGTAGTTAGCGTTCATGCTTGTAACACATTTTTTTATCCAAAACTGATTAAAACTGGTCATACAAGTTTGCGGCGCTGGACTAAAAAAGTTGATTTATTTTCGTTGGACATCGTGTTAATACCGATTCATCTTGGTATGCATTGTTGCTTGGCGGTAAGTTGGATTACAAGGTTCTTTCAACCCAAATTACGGTGGTAAAATTAATATATTAGAGAGAAAGTCTTTTGATCCATATCCACCTTCTGTGTAGGTGGGTAGACTTAGTTCTATGAAGCTTGAGAGTTTTTTCTGCTTTCATGCATTTTGCAAAAAGGTTAATAGAAATTTGTAATACTCTTAACTATGTACAAACTTTAGTTATACGTACGTAGAGTGCTCTCACAAACACAAAAGGATTGTTTTACTCGTCGAGTAAATTTGATATTTATTTGGTAGTATTCTACGTAGGTCCACTTCTAATAACCATTTCATTTTCACTGAATACGGTGAAAATGAAATGGTTACTTCATCATTATTTTGAACACTCCTATCTGCAGATTTCTGTAATGTTACAGTTTGAGGCCTTTTCTAGCATGTAATCTAGTGTTTGACAACGAAGTTATTCTGAGCTACAAATTAATCACAGCTTTCTTTGCCATGTGAAGAAACAATCTTCGCTAACTAGAAATGTTTGAGAATATGATGATTATGGTGTAGAAAACGCATTAATAAGCATGCGCTAATCTGATAACATTAAATGACCGGGGTATGAAACGATTTGTGGCGGAAAAAGCTTTGAAATTTGATTCTCGCAAAAGTATGCTATTTCTGTCCTCATACATATCATCAAAATATTATTTAGACAAGAATATCTTTTTTGGTTTATAGTTAATTGTTTGTGTTTCTCTTTTGTATCCATAGGTTATTTACTTGAAAGAAAAAACATTTACTTACTACGACTCTTTAAAGGGAGATAATCAGAATTGCATCCATAGAATTATAAATTCGATCAACAAATTAAACAGCTCCGTAGACTGAGCTTCATTGAACCTTGTATTGCATTTGCAAAGGGGTTATTTTTCGTTTGTGCTTCATTATCATTTATATTTTAAGTTTTACGTTACTATTAGCATCAAGTCTGCTTTACATTATAGGATATACCTGAGCAACAAAATGGCTGTGACTGTGAGGTTTTTGCTTGTCAGGTACATACATAAATAGTCGTGTTGTGTCACCTTTCCTTACTTCAAAACGATGAAGAACTCCATATTTTCTGCGCATTATCATCTTATTGTTTCTTTTGTAGTACGCTGAATATGTTTCTCGACGTTCATCATTTAATTTAACTCAGGTTAGTCAATTTACAGACTATATCTAGTTATAGAATATCTTTTAGCCTGAAGATTGAACCTTTTAATCAATGTAAAGAATCATTCCATCTGCATTTGGAAAGATTGTTGTCTTCATCTGTCTTTTGATTGAGTTCACCTTCAGAAATGCTTCATAATACAATGAATGTTTCGATATGGGGCTCAATTTGTTGTTTGTTTGTATGTCTCAAGACTGTGTTCAATGTCAGAACTGCTTGATATTTTGTTGTACACACGTTTTAAGAGTCAGTTGAATTTCAGAACAACTTGATGACGTAGTTCAATTTCAAGGAGATTTAACGAAACTTAGCTTAGTTTTGATAGTTTTGTTTTGTTTTGACTTGCTTTTTTGTTAATTTTTTTTTTGGGGGCGGCCAACTACAAAAAAGGTTTTTGAATGACTAAAGAGGGTTGTTTGAAGAGTATAAAAGGTATATAAATTTGTTAAAAATTAAATATAGTTTCTCTTCAATCCTCGCTTTCAAACTCTTCCCATACATACGCATCTTTTAACTCAAAATCCTTTAGCAATCAATTTTAGCTGGGATTCATGGATGTTTTGCAAAATCTCCACCAGTCAGAGAAAAAATATTTTTAAAACTTTTAAAAGTTCGTCTTTTCATAGGCAATACTCTCTGTTAACAAAATATTATTTTATCTAGCATGACATGCCTTACTTTCGAAGAAGAATGATTTACGAAATTTTGAGTAAGACGTTACTATGAATAAATAAAACAAAACAAAAGTAAGTTGGTCATTTTGAACGTACGTTTACGTTGAATTGGATTATTGCAGTAGCTAAGGATTGCAGTCACGTGACAGTTGCATTTTAGTAAATGAGAAGTAGTGCTCATGCGCTGATGAACACTTTTTCAAGTATGTTAATACCAATTATTATATCCTATCCTTTTTTTAAACGGGCGCGAAACCACAGCGAGTATTAAAATTTGGTTAATATTTACCGTGGTGTGATGACGTCATGCCGTCAATAAAGGTACCCACAAGTACCTGTCTTAGTAATGTAGTGTGCTCAGCCATCATGGTCTCAAATGCACTAATTACGTACCATTTTCTTCTCATACGGCATTACGTCATTATCTGACTAGTCATCATTCGTAAATATTGACGTAAGTATTACCAACATTATAGCTACAGTTGTTGATAAAATCACTTGTGTTCATAATTAGATGTTGTATGGCTAGTTTGTTCTCTTTCAAAAATAGCTAGTTTATTTTTTTCAATGTCAATTTGCACATGGGCAAAATATGCGTACATCTTTCAGGGCACGTATAAGTGAACAATTTCAAGTAATCAGTCTTTAATCTGTTTGTAGAAATATGCAGTTTAGAAACATACGCCTATCATTATACTTTTCAACTATTTAGCACTGGAGAAAACACCAGATAGTTCAGCTGCTGGAAGATACGAGTAATGCCAAAGCAAAATTGGTGCTGTAATTTATAATATGATAAACTTGTTGACGAGCGTCTATATTTCTCGAAATATCTTATAACAATAACGTTGTGTGATTAACATATTGAGAAACGGTGTTGTTTCAATTTCGTCAAGTATGTGTGTTTTACTGAGAAATTTCCACTACAATAAAGGCAAATTGTCAAGTCACTGGAAGACGAGTTTTTAACAAACTTTCTTCAGAGAAAGTGGTCGGAATCATAAGTTTAACCTTTTGGTACTTTCTCATGAGTGAGTTTGAGAAGTCAATATGGCTGCCACAGTCCTATTAAAGTCCTGAGGACTTCAGAGTCTTACGCTAAGGCTGTCGGAACGTCAGTCAAGAACAACAAAAACAGTCCTTCTCAGGACTATACTAACCTGGACGATCTACATTTACAAACATGTAGCGTTACTCCCGGGTTCAAACCATTTACTTTATAGGTCCTATTACCAATCATGCTCGCTCAGGTTTTTTGACAAATTTGGGGGGGTTTCCGTGCGTGACATTTATAGTGTAATACTGTTATTCCTGCCTTTAAGAGTAACTCCAATCAATCCAAAGTATTGGATATCTACTACTGTCTAAGGGTGACTTTATCTGACAACATATGCTGTTATACTTTTCAAGACGGAAAAGTAAAGAAATAAACATTAAATACCATATCGGATAATCCTAATTTGAACTGAAATAAACTTGTTGGCAGACAACGAATCATAACATATCATAGAAGTAGTTTTAATCCTTTTGCAAGGCGGGCTCTATTTCAGAGCATTGCCAAAATGTTCTGTAGAAGTATTGGTACAATACTCTTGTAGATACTTTAAGGTCAAGCTTACTCATACATAAATACATAAATGATTATAACTAGCTTGCAAACTATACCGTGTTGACTAAAAAATCCAAACAAAACTATTATTAGGCTCATTAATTCTATTGATAACTCACGTTTAGTTCTATCTTTAAATGTTTTTCAAATTTTCAGAGATTTTACTTATTTGTCTCGCAAACTTGTTTCCGTGATCCATAAATTTTTTGTTTTCATTTAACAATCCAGCAATTCTAAATTCACCAAACAGAACACAAACACAAATCTTTTTTACCTAATCGTCAAACTTTCTTTCTAGTGATTCATTACTTGAAAATGCGTCACATGACAGTGATATTGCGATATCGACCAGGAAATATGTTTTCAGTAAATAAATATTATGTTGTGTTAACAACAAATAGTAAACAAAATCGATAATGGTTATCTCGTAACAAAATGTTTCCAAGATCTTTGAGTAATCTCTGCTTCGTCTTCATCAAATTCATGTGTTTCAATTTTCTTCTCCGGTTTTAAACGATTCATCCTAGCTTTTTTTTCTTCCTCTGTCAGACTGCTCGGGTCTACAGGAAGACGAATTAGTTTACGTGGCTCGTGGTTTCGGACCGTGTAAGTAGATCCATCTGGCTGCTGCAGACGTACTTTATAAACGCGAGGATACAACATACTCATTTTGATTTTTGTTATTGAAGTTGAACAACTATAAGTATATTAATTCTCTTTGCTGAAGTTGAACAACTAGCTAAAAGTAAAATCATTCTTAATTGTTAATGAAGATGAACAAATACAAGCACATTAATTCTTGTCACTGAAGTTGAAAAACTACAAGTATAGTAATTCTCGTTACTGAAGATTTAAGCTAAGGAACGACAAGTGTAAACGTAGCTTACCTATGTTTTTCTTTACAGTTAAGAACTAACGATCCAGATTAGTGCAAATTTTAAAAAAACACTTCCTATCACTGCCGCAATTTGAATCAACCATAAAATGTTTTCACACATTTACTTCATGGAACACAAAAAGATTTTTGATAAAAACCAAAGCAGGCTATAGTCTGCAATTGAAATTTCGCGATTCTCGTAAGGAGGAAGCATTTAACATAGAGGGTTTTCTATTATGTAAACGGAGATGCAGCAATCATCGAAGAAACAATACAAACGCAATTAATGTAAAAAAACTAACAGAAAGAATTATCAGACTCTCTTCGGAAAGTGTACAAAATTACATCTAATGTACGTATAACCGAATGAGTTTTTGCCAATCATTACAAAAGCGCAAAGTTTCATTAAAACTATACAAAGCGCAAGACATGGTATCACCACAGATCTTAAAAAACCAAAAACACATACTAAACAAGCACCGTTAGCTTACCCTAAGTGTAAAAAGTTACGGCACCTCGTTGTATTCTTAACTTACTATTGAGTTACTGAGTACATTTGTATTGCTCTTCCTTTTTTGAAAAAGAGCCGAAACAGGGCCGAACCAAGATTTTCTCAGATAAAATTTGCACTGCCCACATGAATCACATCCCAACCAGTCTTCACCATCATCTATCTGGCAAATCTTGCATACTAAACTTATTTTCACAGCCGTTCATGATTTGATTCCACTAAAATGATTTGCGAACGAAAACCTGTTGTTCAACACAGAGTTTTACAAAGAATGTTATATTTACTATACATTATAATGACGTCATTCTCGATGTTCACGTGAATAAATAATATATTGTTTATATTCAACTCAACTGCAAAAAATTTTTTGAAAATATTTACTAAATTTACATAATCATCCACGAAATTTGTTATCACTGCACACATACTTTACTCGTAATTTATAAAATGTTTTAATGTTGGATATTTTTATGTAGTTTCAAGCTATTAAGATGTGTGAATGTTTTACCACAATGTTCACATTGATAAGGTTTTTCTCCAGTATGAATTCTAACGTGTTGAGTCAAGTGATGAAGATGTGTAAATGATTTACCACAATTTTCACATTGATAAGGCTTTTCTCCAGTATGAATTCTAACGTGTTGATTCAAGGAGCCAAGCACTGTAAATGTTTTACCACAATGTTTACATTGATAAGGTTTTTCCAGTATGAATTTAACGTGTTGATTCAAGGAACCAAGCACTGTAAATGTTTTACCACAATGTTCACATTTATAAGGTTTTCTCCAGTATGAATTCTAACGTGTTGATTTAAGGAACCAAGCACTTTAAATGTTTTACCACAATGTTCACATTGATAAGGTTTTTCTCCAGTATGAATTCTAACGTGTTGATTCAAGGAACCAAGCACTGTAAATGTTTTACCACAATGTTCACATTTTAAGGTTTTTCTCCAGTATGAATTCTAACGTGTTGATTCAAGGAACCAAGCTGTGTAAATGTTTTACCACAATGTTCACATTGATAAGGTTTTTCTCCAGTATGAATTCTAACGTGTTGATTCAAGGAACCAAGCACTGTAAATGTTTTACCACAATGTTCACATTTATAAGGTTTTTCTCCAGTATGAATTCTAACGTGTTGATTCAAGGAACCAAGCACTGTAAATGTTTTACCACAATGTTCACATTTATAAGGTTTTCTCCAGTATGAATTCTAACGTGTCTATTCATGTCACCAAGCTGTGTAAATGTTTTACCACAATGTTCACATTGATAAGGTTTTTCTCCAGTATGAATTCTAACGTGTTGATTCAAGTGAGAGAGCCTTGTAAATGTTTTACCACAATGTTCACATTGATAACGTCTCAATCCGTCATGTTTCTCTCCGGCATAATTTTCTTTAACTCTCTGCGATAATTTCAAAACACAGTTTCCACTATTGCTTCGACGTTTATCATTGCCAACAGAAGAAATATTCGTTTCCTTACACGACAATTTGTGTTGTAACAGTGGATTTTTTCTGCATTCATTTTTTATATGAACATTTAGGTAGTCCTCGCTACTGTACTTTCGACTACAATGTGGACATTCCCATAGCTTTGTACAAACAAGCGTGGACATCTTTTTAAATGTTTCTCTAAGAAATTAAGATAAGTAAACATCCTTCCACAATGTCTGCAGCTGTGACCTCCAACTATAAAAGAATAGTTAGATATCATAAGATCACTATATAAAAAATTAAATTATCATACAATACCAGGTAACTAACCTTCAAAATGTTTCTCGTCGTCTTCCTCGTCAAACAATGATACTCCTAGTTGTTCCGCAAATTCATCCCCGTACCAAACAAGCAGCTCTTTATCTGCCTCAATCTCTTTATAAACTCGGTAGTAAATTTCACCATGATGTTGATATGCAATTATATTTTGTTCATCTGAAGATCGAGCACAATTCACAAATCTCATCCAGTTGCCTTGAGTTGAATCTTTACCATCAATATAATATCGAATCTTTCCTTCTTGTAGAATCTATAAACACCAACAGGTAAACAGTAGTGCCAAAGCCGTACATTCTTTAGCTGGATGGTGTTAATGGAACAAGCAGAAAGTATTTGAATAAAACAAAAAAAAAATTCAGACGATATGTTTACCTCCCACATGTACGAAGTATCTCTTCCTTCCTCTAAATCATCAAGCAAAACTTTCTCTCCTCTGTATGGTCCAAAACGAGTGTTGATCTCTAACTTTTTATTTGCAAACACACCCATGCCTGCTTCAGGTATGGTAGAAGGTATTACGTAAAGATCTTCAGGAAGTGTCTTCAAAGCATTTGATGTTCCCTTTCTTGATCTCATTGTGCTATCTTCAATGATGTGAAAATTGTGCGATGGACATTCGCCATAGTAAAAATCATTGCACTGCTCACAATCTATAACGAAAAGATGAAATCACAATGATGAACTTATGTTTATAAAGCGAACTTTAAAAAAACGTTGAGAGTCGACGTGAATATGTAAAATACGTACAAATATAATGATCATCGTCAGGTACTTCTTCTTCAGTATAGTTCTTTCTTGACGAGTTTCTCGAAGATCGTCTTGAAGGTATATTTTTTAGATATTTACATTTATGTTTGATTGATTTTCTTTTAATATTACATTTAGCTTTTTCATCATTATTTTTAACCATTGAATTGTCATCAACAGATGAATTAAAATCATTATTTGACGAGGTTGAAGGAGCACAAAATTTTTCGAAGAAGCCTGCAAAAATTTTGTAAGTAAAATTTAATAAGAATATATGAATGTATAGTCAATCATTTCTTTTCATCTTTTCTTAACGATATAGCTACCTGTTTATTTGAAGATTTCTTGGTGACGGAACTGCTTCTAAATGTTGATTTAAAGACTGAAAACAAAACAAATTCATATTTAAAAAGTGCTTTTCACTGACAAAATATAGATTAGCAAGTTGTCTTTAAGCTAACTCACTTGGCTTTACTTTCTTTAGCAAAAAATTTTCATCTTTTCCAGGTAACCATTCTTCATCACTGCTACTGTCTTCGTCAATTTTTCTCTTCTTTGTTCGTTGCTTCGGAAGATATGCAGGCCTGTCCACTTCAATACCTTTATAAACGCAAAAATATACCAACATAAACACATTGGGCTTCACGAATGAAGGCTAAAATGCACTTGCCCAAATTCTCGAGGAAATCAAGGTTTTGTTTGATTTTAGCAAGTCTTTGGAGTTCATAATCACTGAGCTCTTCTTTTTCTGTCTTCGACATTCTTTACAAAACCAATGCACAACAACAACAAACAATTTTTAAACGTAGGAAATGCATTTTCCCCACCTGTGCATAAAGTAGATACTCAAATTGAAATAGATACCTGGCAGAGTTAGCAAACAATCCAGACACACTTGTGAATACAATCTTATTAGATAAGATAACGTTGTTTAATTTCTTTAACTTTTAAAAGGTTTAAAACTGGAAGTGAATACGTTTAAAATAACTTAACAATGCTTTAACAACAAGACGACAAGAAAAATATTTCAAGTTTTCGCGGGAAAATGACGTATGCGTAGTAGGCTCGTGAAGTCATCGCAATATTCCGTAATATGATCGGAACCTTTTTGATGGAAGCTTTTCATGCAAAAGCCTATAGTTCACGATTTTTAATGCAAAAGGCTATAGTTCAAGCATTTTAATAAAAAAACTATAGATCACGGTTTTTCATTCAAAAGACTATGGTTCACGATTTTTCATGCAAAAGACTATATTTCACGAATTTTCATGCAAAAGACTATAGTTCACGAATTTTCATGCAAAAGACTTTACTTCACGAATTTTCATGCCAAAGACTATAGTTCACGAATTTTCATGCAAAAGACTATAGTTCACGAATTTTCATACAAAAGACTATAGTTCAAAAGGTTGCATCTTTAAAAAGTTGACCATTAAACTTAAAGTCTTGAGTCTAAGTTTTACGTAGAAATGAATTATGAAATACAATACATTCAATACATTCTCAGAGGTAAATGTTTTTTCGTATGTCATATGAGTAAAATACAAAAAATATTACATTAACCGAATATTGAATAAAATGCATCAGTTACTCTTTTTCATTTTTCATGAAAAGTGGAAGCACATCGTGAGCGATAATCCTGGGCGGAGTCTGGAAACGATGGCGAAAGACGGTTGAAGACATTATGGTAAGATTCAAAATTCTATTATCTTTCAAATGAAAATCCTATTAAAATTATATGAAAAGTTTTCCGTTACAGCTCATTTTATTGTGTAGCATGGAAAAACCAAAACTGACTGGGAAAAAAAATATATTTGACGGAATTATTTGCTCGCCAATTTTGTCAAGTGGCAGTTCACACGACGAGAGTAAAGGTCGACATTCACCACAGACTGAGAGAAACCTCACTTGCCTGGGCAAGGGGTCTAGATTTTCTAGATCTGGGGTCTAGGGTCTAGATCTTCTGTCTAGAATCTAAGGTGAAAAGTACAATATATAGTTAATGATTTTTATTAAATTTTGCTGTTCTTCTGTACCATTATATCTAACTGGACTCTTGTTTTTGTCAGTTTTATTTTAACTCGGAATAAAATTGGACAAGTACGTTTTTGACTAGTGCACTTTGTAAGAGAAGATTTGCAAAATATGGGTGCAAATCTAGTCAGGTTTTACTGCGAAATACTTAGGTTTATGGTGAGATTTTCGATTACAAGTTAGAGATCATTGAAATGTAATTTAACATTGATGTTTATTTCGATCAACGCGCTTTAAAAAACTTCTCTAGAAGTTCGTTTTCTCATTGTATGTTTGAAAAAATGTCATTGATAAAAGATGTCCCAATGTTTATTATGTCAAGTATGAAGAATGTTTTTCTCATGAAGTGTATTCAACCCATCACCATACTCTTTGGAATGATACCATAATACATAAGTTGTAACCTTCTCTTATTCAGTGGTTGTGGAGTGCCCTGTTTATTTACCAAAATTTTTATTTTACTTTTATTTTATTTTACTGAACATTTACTTTATTGTTCATTTGTATTAACTGATTACATCGCACTTGCTTAATTATATAAATTATCAAGAAATAGGTGATTTCAAATTGGTTTATCGACTTATATAAACTTGATTTTTCTTTTCTAAATTCAGCATTTTTCCAAGTACTCCACTTCTAAAGTCATCTGTCACTGACAAGCATCGAATTTGTGGGAAGAAATTTGTAAGTTGGATGAAGAGGAACTACCCAAAATTCACTCCAGAATTCTCACCAAACGCACCCAAATAGAATGTACCGAATTCTCACCAAAGAAGACCATATTTTGTATGGTGAAGTTGCTAAGGTGATTGCTACTTAAAACCATGTATTATTGAGGCTTGATAATTGATAACCAGTAGTTGTGGACTTTTTCCGAATGTTTTGATGTCTTTTCATCATTTCTTGGTGTTCAATATATGAATGATTTTTGTAATTGTTTTTAATCATGTTGGTTTTGTTGCCACAGTAATTGTGACAAAGATCATCGACAATCTTCCAATTTTCACGTAAGTTAATGTCAAGCAACATGCATCCGACGTTACTGAATTGTTTTGTTAAAAGTCCACTCTTGTACGCTACAGTGTTAGATCGTGTTGCTTGCAATTTTAGGATGGATGAAACTGCCGAGGATCATGGGATTGTAAAAGACCGTGATGTTAACAATGATATTGAAACCAGTCTTTCAGAACAAAAAGTTGTTTGTGAAGAAGAAAAAGATGTGATTGCCAATGGTAAGGATGATATACAAAGTATGTATTTTCCTTTGAATTTGGGGCTATCTACTTTTGCTGCCTTTCCACAAGACTACAATTTTAGATATAAATAAATGAAAACATAGCAACATATTTTAATAAAGTAAGTTACTTTGCTAGTGGGAGAAGACCATGGGTAGAAATTAACAAATTTATTCATCAAGTGCTATGTAGTTTTGTTTTTGCAAGCTACTAAAAAGCTTCAATCAATTTAAATCAATAAAATTTATCTTAGTGTTTGTGTTTACTGATGTAAAAATATAGTATGGTGTTTCCACTTAAGATATAAAACTTCAAAAATATTACTTACGAACACTTCAATGATAATGCATATCTGCTTTTAAAATGTCCACGAAACAAGAGGAAATTTATAAACGGAAAGTTTCCTTGATGCGTACCATTTACCGTTTTACCATGAAGTGCAAATCCAGCTTAAATTAAAACTGAAATATATTTTCAAATTATGTGGATAACTGTTTGCACGTATCCTAGTGTTTAGTTTTAGATTAGCCACTGCAGTGGTTTTAACAATCACTGCAGTTCAGAATGAAAGAAAATCTTGTCTCGCACAAAGGTTAATTAGAGGGTAGCATTTGGAGAGCCAATCCTGCCATAAGTCAATGAAATGGGTAAGCTTTAGGTGATTATTCTGACATTAATTACGACAAAATTATACCAAATAAGATAGAAAGTATATACAATATGTATAAATTGGACAGCAACTGCAATGCCCACAATTGTGGGTATGTTACAGTCCACAAAAGTCAGATCGTTCATGTTAAGCTCTATGTTTCTTTTGTAAAAAATTATCTTGATAGCACTATACTTTGTGTTGCAGTTTTTTCTCCTTTGCGCGTTAACACAAAGCAGTTATGTGTCTACCGATTCGTTATTGGGACTGTATGCCATCCAATTTGTATGCGCAGTCGACACACAATATTGTTTAGTAAATTGCCTAAAGGACTTATCAAGTGCAGCAAAATCATTCAACTTAAATTCCTGATAAGGCTAAATTACCTGCAGGAAGTATCGTCACATGATCGAAAATTGGTTTATGTGGAGCCAAAAACACATTTAGAAGTACAAGCTTTTGTTTTTGTAGTACATTTGGTTGTGATGTTTAACAATAGATCATTCTTTCCATGTATTTTTTGAAAGTTTTGTTGTTTCAATGTTTTATGGGGACTGTTTTGATGTCTACTACAGGTCTTCTATGTCCAGCATATGAAACGATCCAAGTTAATATTGCTGGACTTTTAGTTTCTTTTTTGATAGGGATATCAATATCATCTTTGCATCTAAAATATTTCAATTTCAACTTGAATCAATGTGTGTGATACCTACAAAAATAGGTTTTTTAGTATGAAGTCCGCAAATTTTGTTGTAACTATACAAAGTTTCTCAGAAAAATGTTTCTAAACATTGCAAATAAAATTAGTTTAAGAATGCTTAGTTTAGAACCTTGGCCAGGGTGGTCCAGGAGATTGTGAAAAGGGAGCCGAACTCTTTGAACTTGTTTAAAACTAAAACTTTCCTGTCATTTTTTATTATCATTCAATTTTTTTTGTTTTTTTTTCCAGCAAAAGGGGGGTTTGCGGCCGTTCCAGAGACGAAGCAACTTGAAATTATCGATATAACTTTGTTTGATGTAGAAAGTTCCCAAATGTTTCAAGCTTTTAAACTTGAATTCAGACGTTTATTGCTCTTTAAAATCATACACACCAAGTGCAAAGTAAATATTCAACGTTTACCGTAGGTTTTGAATGTGTTGTATAACATTTCAAGTTTTTGCGGAAATATGGCGCATGCGTGGTAGGTTTTGTCTAGCAGCCGGAAATCCCCGTACTACGATCGGAGGTCTCTTTTACATTTAATTGTCGTCTTACACACTCTTGCACTGTGTTTTTCAACATTTATTGAGTTGAATGCTGCTAAAACGTCTTTCAAACGAAGACTGTGTCAAGATTAGTATGCAAGAAGAACGACACAAAGTATCTCATACTTTATTATATTTAGGTGAGGGGATACTTGTTCTTGGTTTAATTTTAATGACAGAGAGGATAGAGTTGAGCATTGAGTTGAGGAAACGGTCAAATTGACCGATTCGTCCAGATTTCTAAATGTACATGACTTTCCATTAAAGCTATAAATTACATATGAGCATTGATACATTAAACAATGTGTATTGAGTTAACAAATGCTTACTAATAATTTGACCATTTGTTGTGTTGTCATTCAATTCAAATCGATTTGCATAAAGACTAAAAAGATGACGGCTGCAAACGGAAATTACTTGATTTCAACACAATTTAAAATTTTGACAGTGAACTTGTTGTTGGTTTCTTTGAAATTTAAAAATTCATCTGCTTGACAATAAAAATTTGCATCTAGTTTTCATTGTGAAACATGCAGCTGGCAAATTGCAGAAGAAACAAACGTTACAAAAATGCATTCCTAAAGTGGCAAAAAATTGAAAACATTTCACGGAAAGAAAACTTTTACTAAAGCACCTGTTAGGAGAGGTGGTTATTTTATGACAGAGTCAGGAGGGGGTGAATGCTTTAACAAAAGCAATTTAGAGGAAGGATGGTTACTTCATAAGTTCAAGAAGGTAATACTCACCATTCATAAATGTGTTTTGAAGCATAAACATATATCATGATTATCAGCATTTATCTTTATCTTAACAAAATGATGTGAATATTTTCATTTTAGTTATAAAATATGTTCTTTGTAATCATTGGTTCCCTTTTGTTTGTCTTTGTTCTCCAGTTCATGAATGGCATGATCATTAAATGATTATTGGTGTTAACAGTTGCATCATAATTGGTTATTTCAAAAGTTAGCAAGGTATGAGTTAAAATGATGAATAAATTTGCATGTAGGTAATAGCATGGTTTCTTGTGCAATTTGGAAAGAAACTTGCGCAAGTGAGTTTTTAACTTTCAAATCAAATTAGCATGAGTCTGAAGGATGAGAAGAACTTAGAAGTCCATGTTTTTGCAAACGGTGCAATTACTTATTATTAATATGATTAAAAAATTTCCTCTATTTTGTTGATTGTTAGCTTCAGCACAACAACATTTTGAACCAAGAGTTATTGAAATCATTGACTTATATTTTTCAATTTGATAGATATTATTTTGTTGCATCATTGCTTGCTTCCATACATGCACATAGCCAAAAACATGGTACTTTTGAACGTGTTCATAATTTTGGCAATGTCATGCAAATGCTGAATTGTAGATTGGGTCACCAAAGACAAAAAAAAATCTATTTAAAATTTACAGTGAGTTATGCCAGGCCTGTTATTGCATTTTTCTACATTATTGTATATTTAGAACTTGCAAATGTTTTATTTCATTGGTTTTTATGACTTTATCATTGTTTTGAGAAACCTTAAGGAGCATTTTAAAAAATGATTAAATGATAGTGACTCCTGGATGTATAAGCCAGAGATTGATCCAAGAGGAATTTGTATAGGGCATGCTTTGGTTTAGATTAGATTTTGAAAGCTACTTTGAGTGTGTTACTATTGATAAGACGGGTATGACCCTCCTCCAACATCCATAGTAAATCCATCTCTACGTATGTTTAGATAATGAGAGACAAAGTTGGCTTGATTGCTAAAAAAAGGTGCCCAGCAAAGTGCGAAGATCGTATCTTCATTTAATTTCAAATACCGCACTGCATAAAACATTCAATGTTCTTTAAAGTTAACTATGCTGTGGAGCATAGTTAACTTTTCAAAACACAGTTAAATATGGCGGCTTTTAATACGTCTTATAGATATTTTGAGCGAAATGTAATCGATCGGCAACGTTTACCTCGAGTTTTTAATCGACATCTTCCATGGCATGGTTTTTCCGACAATGACCTCCGAAAACGGTACAGATTTGGCCGAGAATCGTTGCAGCATATCTCACGATTAATTGCAAATGATGTACGGCCAACAACAAACCGTAACAAAGCCTTGTCAACCGAAGAGCAATTGGTCATTGCTCTTCGTGTCTTTGCGTCCTGGAGCTTTTTGCAAGTCATTGGCGATACTCACGGTTATGATAAAGCCACTGTTTCGAGAGTAGTGCGTAAAGTCGCACTTGCATTGGCTTCTAAGCACGCAGACTACATCAATTTCCCATCAACAAATGAGGGAAAAAATGCTATTTGTACTGGGATGTATCAAATTGCGTGTTTTCCCTGCGCCATTGGCTGCGTTGATGGCACACATATACGTATAATTGCTCCTTCCAAAACAAGCCAAATTATGTAGATAGAAAAGGATACCACAGCATAAATGTTCAAGTCATTTGTGATGACAAAGGTAAATATGAACATATTAAACATGTTTAATTAATATTCAAAACCATAATGTACTAGACTTCAAGAACCATAATATAATACACTTCAATAATCATAATATAATACGTAATCATAACAATAGAATTTTACAAAGTTATCCACTTAATTTATCCTAAAAGTATTAATACAACCTACTTAAAAAAAAATTTCCAAAAATTAATTTTATGCAGGCAAATTTATCAATGTGGTAGCACGATGGCCAGGATCATGTCATTATTCATTCATCTTCCGGTCCTCTACCATTGGTAGAAGGTTGGAAGAAATGGATCATGCAGCAAATAATGATGTGCTGTTGGGGGACAGTGGATATGCCTTACGGTCATTTTTGATGACTCCATACCTCCATCCAGTGCATCCATGCCAGAAAAAATTTAACAAGGCACATAAAAAACAAGGTGTTTGGTTGAAAGAACCATTGGCATTTGGAAAAGAAGGTTTCATGTTTTGCATTCAGAAATAAGGTATCAGTGAGTCTTTATGAGCCTTAATACAACATCAAATCCTAGCAAGCATGTTTACTCTATTTAGGATGAAACCAGATAGAGTCTGCACCATTATAATGGCTTGTGCAGTATTGCATAACATTTGCATTCTAAGGCAAGAGCCTGAGTTGAAGAAGATGAGTTTGGAGAAGATGCACTGGAAGAAGAAAATGAAGATGTTTTGCTGGATGCAGGAGAAACAGATGGAATAGCAGCAAGGGAGCATATGGCACAAACATATTTCAGTTGACTAGTTTATTAAAAGAAAAAATGAAGGGGGTTGTTCACTGATTTCAACTATCCTCTCAAGTAACTGTACTTGTAGTTCGAGTTTTCTTTTCTTCAACTCTAGGTTGTGCTTCTCAAACAACATTTTTTCTTTTCCAGTTGAAGAACCTCAACATGAAGTTGCTGAACATCATTTTTCATCTCTCCTTGAGTCTTTGGTCGTTTCCTTTTGAATGTTCTTGATTCTTCGCCTGTGAATTAAGTTCAATACAATGCACAAATACACTTTATAAGCTATGAATACAACAATGGATATAAACATAATTAAATGCTCACATTGTGATAGTGTGGATGTTGTTGGTATTGGAGTCTTGCTTAATTCCATGTCCTCACCACCCTCATCTTCTTCGTCGGTTTCGACCAAAGTGCTCAAGTGAAATGAATTACTCTCTTTCTCTGCAAAACGTTAAAAAAACATAGCACAATGAAAAGATGAAAACGTATTACCTTTTTTTGTTTTACTGTATATTTTTCCATTATGCAAATAAATAATCAAAACTTAAATCAATACAATTGTCTCATTCAGCATATAGAAATCATATTTCGTACTTTGTATTTATAGCATCGAATTCTTCGTAAAACAACTTTGGCAATACTCCATCCTGAAGACATATTCGGTTAATTCAAGCCGGCCATTTTATTTCGGGATGGGTTGGTTGGTATAAATTATTTTGTTATGTTTAGCGTAATGGCGGGAAAATTTAAAATCCCTTGTGTTGTATTAAAACGTAAGCAAAAGACAATAACAAAGTAGCATTTTGCTTCTGCTTATTCATTTACGCAGAATTCTTCTATGCATTTTAAAGAATGAGATTTTAAAGATCATAATTACCTACAAATGTACCACCAGACTCGAAGCCTCCTTGAATACCTGAGAATGAAGTTTCATCTCCCAAAATATTTATGATTTTCTCCGTTGTTAAAGGTGGTGGTTTTGTCGCAGGACCTCCCCCTGTTTTTCTTTGCGAACTCATTATTCCAGCATTGGTTTTTTTAGCAATCTGTGCCAGGTTTCTCCATTTTTCACGCACTTCTTTTGGCGTGCGATTTTCAAACCCCAAGCTGTTTATTTGCGAGGTTATCTTCTCCCACAACTCTTGTTTTTTTGCATTTGTTATGCTACTTGAAAATTGCCCTCGTATTGCATCCAAATTTTTCTCCACAAGCTCAACAAGAAGAGAGCATTCTACAGGGCTAAAATTGTTTTCTTTTTTTACTTTTATTTGAGGACTCAGCTGTGATTGATAGGGAAGACATCTTGGATTGAAATGATATAATACATCTACCAATGATAACAGTTACACAACGAATGCATGATTATGATGTAACAGAGAAGAGATGTGAGTCATTTGAAAACAACTACAGAGTAATCACCAATGAATTTTATAAAAACTTCATTATGCAATATCAATATCACAATGCAAGACAATATATTGTCTTTAAATGTACATTAAGCAATTTTCAAGAGTCAGATAGCTGAACCATGAGAATTAAATAGCGAAAAGAAAAAGGTTAAATATTTTTGAGAATAGATTTTAAATTAAATAAGTTAAGAGGAAATATTCTATGTACCTGGGGACACTCAAAATCTATAATAAACAAAATGGCATGAGTTTAACAGGATAGAAATGACAATGAAGACGAAATGAATACAATATTTATTCTATATCCCTATGTTACGCTTTTAATGACAGAGGAAAGATATGTCATAACAGTCGTGAAATTATATTGTAACTATGATGACCTTTAAGAAATGTTTGCTAACAAGTCTATCAATAAAAGTCTATGACTGTCTTCTTTTGCTCATACAGTCATACCTGTGACTAAATGTCTTGTCATAAAACCATGATTAATTTTTTTGATAACAAGATTTCTTTCAATGATTAGCAAAACAATATCTTTCTCTTTTATACACTATTTCTGATAGTGTCAATGGCTGTTTAAAGCTATTCAAATCCTTACCAAGATGCAAAAAGTAGGAAACAAATAGAACTCCCAAGCTTTAGACAAAAATAGGCTAATAAATCACAAAGGCATGAATAAAAGTTCCATAGCTAAGGCTCATTAACAAATATACCCAATAGTTTTATAACACAGTTTTGAAAGGTAGAATTAAGAACAAATAAGTATTTTGTGTATAGCTGTGAAAATAACATGTCACAAGCCGATAAAACACAGTTGCTGGATTACATGGCTACTAACTATGACAACTCAAAGAAATGTTTTCTAATAATAAAAAAGTCCATCACTGTCATCTTTTACAAATATGTGTGACTTATGTCTGTACAAACACATTTCTTTCAAGCATTTTACTCAGCTGTTATAAAGAGAAACGAAACGACCCTTTTCCTTTGTTACCCTCAATCTCTCAATTTTAAATTCTGTAAAAGCGAGGCCATTCAATTATTTAAATCCTTGCACATAGAACACAAAATGAATCAATTTGAGAAGAGTTCATTGTTTCGTTTGCCCAAGTCCGTTATATATAATTGGTACATGAAAGAAAGCAGTCCTTGCCAAGACTCATATCATTCGTCAACATCGTACTGTATTACACAGAAGATAAATGTCCATTTTCTTGAGAAAAGTCCAAAGTATATGCTACACTTTAATCCGGATACCATGTCATCGTGAATCTTTTATTAAATTTTCTTTTCGCTTCATCAACATCCATAAAAACGACAATAGTTTGCCATATTTTAAGATTTTTACATAAGCCAAGAGATTTTTCATGATTTTAAAGTCATTTTATAGTTCACTTGCCCGCCATTACAAAGCATAAATTGATTAAACTTGTATGACTTATTTGAATTCGACCTTCGGAAATCGTCAATGTCATGAATTCAGAAGACCATATCTCATAAAATATAAAACATTGGACTTTCAAATTTGGCGAATAGGCTAATCATTAGCTAAGCTTTCATATGAAGCAAAGTTATATCAAGCATTTCAGGTGACCTTTAATCATAGCATTCCAATTTCTATCCAATCGGCATGCACAAACGACACACAGTTCACCTTATATGGAGGTGAGTGCTTCAATGCTCAATCGATTCTCATCAGTCATACGTTTTCATCATAAAATTAAAAGATAAATTCCTTGCCATTTTGAATGAAAACATTTTTTTGATTCTTTTAAATGTCTTGATTGTTTTGATTCTTTTGAGTTTTTAAAATGCTTTTTGATTAAAAGTATGATACGTTGTTTACTCAACCGAACAATCGTCCGCATGTTTACAAACGTAGAAACGGACTATATTATAAAACTGTAGTTTTGTTTCCATTATTTCCTTTATAACATTTTGATAGAACCTTTTTTCCGATGATTCTGTGCGACTGCGATAAAATGATGTATAGTTATCGCAAAGAGCAAACGTTTCATCATATTCATAATTCATATTTCATGGTTGAACTCGCACCATGCGTTTAAATTCTTTTTGACGTTTTGTTAAATCCACACCGATATTTCAAGTAATAATAAAAGCTCGAACGAAAACTCGAGCTCGATGTGTAGTTTTTGGTTGTTCTAGCGTAGCCAGTTTGGAGAATATACCATGCACGATATATTTTTTGGCTAAACAGTATAAAAGTTTGTGATGCATCACAATCCATCACACTCATCACAATGCATCACAATGTATCACACTACATCACAATGCATCACAATGTATCACAATGCATCACACTACATCACAATCCATCACACTGCATCACAATGCATCACAATGTATCACAATGTATCACAATGCATCACAATGCATCACAATCCATCACAATGTATCACACTACATCACAATCCATCACAATGCATCACACTACATCACAATCCATCACAATGGATCACAATGCATCACAATGCATCACAATGCATCACAATCCATCACAATGTATCACAATGTATCACAATGCATCACAATGCATCACAATGCATCACAATGCATCACAATCCATCACAATGCATCACAATGCATCACAATCCATCACAATGTATCACAATGCATCACAATGCATCACAATGCATCACAATCTATCACAATCTATCACAATGCATCACAATCCATCACAATGTATCCCAATGCATCACAATGCATCACAATCCATCACAATCTATCACAATGCATCACAATGCATCACAATGCATCACAATGCATCACAATCCATCACAATGTATCACAATGCATCATTCACAATGCATCACAATCCATCACAATGTATCACAATGCATCACAATGCATCAATGCATCACAATGCATCACAATCCATCACAATCTATCACAATGCATCACAATGCATCACAATGCATCACAATGCATCACAATCCATCACAATGTATCAATGCATCACAATGCATCACACTACATCACAATGTATCATGCATCACACTACATCACAATCCATCACACTACATCACAATGCATCACACTACATCACAATGCATCACAATGCATCACAATGCATCACAATGCATCACAATGTATCACACTACATCACAATCCATCACAATGCATCACAATCCATCACAATGTATCCCAATGCATCACAATGCATCACAATCCATCACAATCTATCACAATGCATCACAATGCATCACAATGCATCACAATGCATCACAATCCATCACAATGTATCACAATGCATCACAATGCATCACAATGCATCACAATCCATCACAATGTATCACAATGCATCACAATGCATCACAATGCATCACAATGCATCACAATCCATCACAATCTATCACAATGCATCACAATGCATCACAATGCATCACAATGCATCACAATCCATCACAATGTATCACAATGCATCACAATGCATCACACTACATCACAATGTATCACAATGCATCACACTACATCACAATCCATCACACTACATCACAATGCATCACACTACATCACAATGCATCACAATGCATCACAATGCATCACAATGCATCACAATGTATCACACTACATCACAATCCATCACAATGTATCACAATCCATCACAATGTATCACAATGTATCACAATGCATCACAATGCATCACAATGCATCACAATCCATCAAAATGCATCACAATGCATCACAATGCATCACAATGCATCACAATGTATCACAATCCATCACAATGTATCACAATGCATCACAATGCATCACAATGTATCACAATGCATCACAATGCATCACAATGCATCACAATGCATCACAATGCATCACAATCCATCACAATGTATCACAATGCATCACAATGCATCACACTACATCACAATGTATCACAATGCATCACACTACATCACAATCCATCACACTACATCACAATGCATCACACTACATCACAATGCATCACAATGCATCACAATGCATCACAATGCATCACAATGTATCACACTACATCACAATCCATCACAATGTATCACAATCCATCACAATGTATCACAATGTATCACAATGCATCACAATGCATCACAATGCATCACAATCCATCAAAATGCATCACAATGCATCACAATGCATCACAATGCATCACAATGTATCACAATCCATCACAATGTATCACAATGCATCACAATGCATCACAATGTATCACAATGCATCACAATGCATCACAATGCATCACAATGCATCACAATGCATCACAATCCATCACAATGTATCACAATGCATCACAATGCATCACAATGTATCACAATGCATCACAATGCATCACAATGCATCACAATCCATCAAAATGCATCACAATGCATCACACTACATCACAATGCATCACAATGTATCATACTACATCAAAATACATCACATTTATCACAATGCATAACAACGCATCATCTTTATTATTGCAATGTATCACAACATTACAATGTATCGGATTACATCACAATGGACTGTAATAGCGCATCACATGAGAATACAATATTGTGACTGATCACAGAACCACACTCGAGTGCCGTTATGTCTTGTCATGGAATAAGCATTGCAATAAATTCATAAAATAATTGACATACTATCAGAAATCATAAAGATGGGAAACTACAGTCTCCTGCCTTTCTTTAACTAGATGAAATGTTCATGCTCTCTTATGTCAAAAGTTTTATGTTAACTTTTGACATTGGAAATTGCTGGAACACGTCTGATTAACTCAGAAATTTTCAATGATTTTGGACCATTGTCGAGGTATTACAGTCCAGTCGTTAGAATTGAATACTTTTTTATTAAAAATTTCGTAAAATTTATAAGAAACTCACTAAACTATATTTCAGTGTTCGTCAAAAGTTCACTAATCTATGAACTTAATTTACGATCTGGCAACTGAACACCAATTGTCAACACTGCCTTCCCAAAATGAAACCCCACATAGACCAATGGAAACACAATGGCTTTGACTGCTTGAACCATTGGCTTGAATAGACTTTGTCGCGCTTACTAGATTCAACAAAATACTGTGTGCTATAAAACAAATACACTGTTAGATGCTACAAGAGTGGTAAAACAATTTTACCCTCATTCATATGACAGAAAGCTAAAATCATTCACTTTTGAGTTAACGCATATTTCTTAACAATCGAATATTAGTCGTTTTTAATATTTTGAGTTTTGTGGTTAATTCTATTTTCATAACTTTAAAGTTTTGTTTTATCACTTGAAATCGCGTTTCGATTAACCTGTTTTGAATATTCAGTATGTTCATATGAAATCCTCCCAAGTAAGGTATCGTCGATTAATCGAGTTGTCTCATCTTAATTGGGTTTTGAGGTATAGTCTGTTGTGTTGAAGTGCATTCCTTTGAAGAACTTCATCACAATTCTTAGTTTTTTCACCAAGTTATATTAAATAGAAACACTCATCATTAGTATTCCAAAATCAAGTTTTATTAAACGTTCAATTAAATTATGTACATATATGGCAGTTACTGATCACTTGCTGTTAGTTCCTCGGCAACTGGGACAGAACCTTAAAAAGAAATCACATTCAATCCATCAGTTTGAATACTGTCTTTCACTATACGTAACTAATGTCTAATTCTGTTACCAAGGATCAGTGTCTGGTACAACTTTAAGTTTCAAACAGACCATGTGGTAATAATTGTTTCCTGGACACTAAAATTAAAAGAATACTATACATGTTACATCTACTAAGCAACTCAATATTTTATCTTTAAACGCTTTGTTTTTTTATTGATATAAGGCCTGGCTTTACAAAAGGAGCAGGAGGCGAATCAATTAATAAAACGATAAAAAATATTGAACCTTTCTTGGTTTTCTTTTTCTGTTTTCGCAAACAATCATTTCGTCTTCTTCGTCCTTTGACCTTTCCTAATGAAGTGTGAAAAGTATGATAGTATATTATGATTAAAAGTACACGTTTATTCTTAAAAAACGAATCATAATTTTTCAAACCTTTTTGCAATAGCAATACTTGTATTTGGCTGCAACGAAAAAAAAAACAATTGTTTAGAGATATACTTGTTGATTTCTTAGAGAACTTCTGCCTTGTTATCATATTTCATATAATGAATGATGAAGGCAAACTGTCACATATTTTGTTTTGCTAGCCAATTAGGTAATCTTATGGCAGGATAGCTCATTTATACGGTGAGAAGTTATATTTTCATAACCATACTATTCTCAACACGTTACACAAAACACAATACTTTTTTAATTATATACCTTTGTTCTTAAACTTTTTTGTTTTAAACATGTCTAGTTCGCTCCCTATTTGCTTGCATCTCTTCTTCTTTGATGCACTAACTGTGTTTAAAACATCCATTCTGTCCACTTCTCCCAGCTCCACTAATACGACAGTATAAAAACAAAATGTTAGTATGATAAAAATTTTTAGATATGAGACAAATAGAAGAATCTTTAGCATAATACTTTTTATCAGTGTATTTACCTTCCAGATTAATGCCACTATCATCTAAATTTGTTGATTCAGCACCATAGGTTGATTGTGTGTCAGGTCCATCAGGTGTTGTGCCACCACACTCAAAGGGTGAGTTTTGCGTGGTGTTTGCATTTTCGTCACGTGATGTGTTTGTTCTTCCATTTTGATTGTCGGATGTGGACGGTGTGTTTGGTTCGTATCTTCTGGTTCCAGATGTTGACGGTCTGCTGCGTTTACCAATTTCCATTTCAGACGTAGACGCTGTGTTTGAATCGTTTATGCTGGTTTCGGCGGTGGACCCCAAGCTGTCTCTTGCGATATTTGTATCTAAGATGTTGAAGGCTAAAAAAATGACTATTACTATTTGGCTTTTCAATGACAATCACACGTTTAGTCAATATACACTTTAGATTTCTTTTTAAATAGCATCTGTTCTTAAATAAATTTTTAAAGAAGCTGATAATGATAATACTTTGAAACTAACATAACATGACTAAAGAATAGCCAGTCTATTCCATTTGTAATCTTTTCGCACTTGCTTCCATCTGTATAAAATTAGTTGTTAAGAATGCTAACCTTCCGAAAAAACAATCCAATTCTCACTTCCAAATGCAGATTGTTTTATAATTACGCAGTTTCTGGAAGCAGTTTCTACTCCATCTGAGCCTCTGCTGATCTTTTCACCATTTGCCTTTGCATTGAAATACTGGCTTCGCCCATTGACCACCCCAATGTCGAGAGACTTAATTTCTTGTCTCACTCTTTCTTCATTCGGAAACAGAATACCGTGATCTTTTAGCAAGGCGAAGAACCATTTCAGTGCCACTGCTACTCCATTTAGTCTTACTCCACTTGAGCTTGACTTAAATGTCACTTTTGGATTCACGCAAGTGAGTAGCTAGAAATGAGAAATGTCACAATTACTTTATGAATTTAGTCTATGGGCTATGAATTTATTACATACGTTTTTGCAAGATATTTTGTGCTCTATTGACTTCATTATTAAGTCCACAATAATTGGCTTTTCTGTTTGAAGCATTGCATGAGACACTTGCGCTTGGTTTGTCTGGAATCGCTTCATCCACACTGGCAGGATTGTTTGTTTGAAAAAAGCGATGGCATTGCTTGGATAGAGATCATCAATACTTGCCAGACGTATTACCTATGTTATAATTGTGCAAGTTGTCATTGGCTATTGCTCAATTTTTTCATGTTATGTGGTTAATAAGGCAGTTACCTTCTCAGCAAATGCTACCAAAAGTGCATGATTTCTTAAACAGCGGTCGTCGATGTTCGGTGCTTCAATGGCAAATTGTTGACAGAGCTCATTAGTTCGCGTTATGCAGAGGTATTCAACAGATCTGCTAATTGCCACCATGGTCCCAAAAGCACTAGACCCTCTTTCCATTATTACATTGTTTTGGAATTCTGCGTTCTGCTGATTCTCGATTCCGAGAGGACTTCTTGTTCCTTCTTGAAAGGGAATTAGGACAAGCCTTCCAAGTACTCTAAGCACGTGAAGAAATTACATTAGTGCAATAAAAAGGAAACTTCTTCCATAAATACGGAAAAATCTACCTGGGGTCATTGTTCAATCCCTCTAAAGTTTCCCAATTGACTGTGAACATCGGAATGGTTCGAGGAGCTGCTTCGAAAACACATGTCCCGTCTTTGCCACTGTTGTAGAAAGAGACCGCAACATTTTCAATAACTGTGGGGCTCTTAACGTCGTCGAGCACGGGAGGCAAAGTTGATCTGCTGCATAGCCTGGGGATGAATCTTTCCCTTACTGCTGAAAAGAAGTTTGATCCATTTCCTACAAGACTTAGTGCGGCTTTTGAAGATTTTGTCTTTCCAAGTCTGTTTGTTCCACATACAATGGGCAGGGGACAAAATCCCAGAATATCCACAATCATTTCATAATGAAAGCCTAATAACATTCCAGCTATTTTGAAAAAAAAACAAAAAAACTAATTAAATCAGTGATCAAGTTTCGCCGGCTCTTCATATCGTTTCATTCAAGTGAATATTGTAGCTACATATAAAATTCACTATTTAACTACCTCAAAACTTAAATAAGCAACAGGTCTACAAATTACTATTATTCTTTTCATGCTAAAATGGGTTCAATATAAACGTGACAAATGTATTTTACATGAAAAAACGTCAGCAATTTTGTAATAAACGGGCGTCACTTGCCAAAATATTGAGCATATTGTAATGAGCTTACCAATTGTGAATACAGCAGCGATACCATTATGATGCAACATGGATATTAGAGATTCCACCATTTCACCTAATGTTAAGGAACATAAAGGCAGGGTTACTTCAGGCCAATGAGTTGCTGTTCTTTCTGATTCCAAGATTGCCTTGACCCATATAATGCTGGTCTCTTCTGCAGTAACGACGACACCATCACCGTTCAATTGCAAGTTTTCGCCCAAAACCCAAACGTCTGAATTTGGTTGTCTACCAATGCAGCAAACAGCTTGGTACGTGTCTCTCACTTCATTGATTCGGCATTTCCTGGAAGCGTTATTTTGTTAAAAGTTCAGGATTTAAATTGTTCATTGATGTCAATTTTATTCATGAAGTAACTAGAAGTTACTTCACCGCAAAAAATGGTTAGGCTTATTTCATCTCAACATGAAAGAGTTATCAAAATGACGGGGATAGTTTATCTGATCGAATAATCTGAATTAGTTGATAATTACATTTTGTGAAATGAGGGCGGCAAGACAACGTCTCCAATACAGTGAAAAATTAGAAAAACGAAATACATCTTGAATTATGAAAATAATAATTTCGATAATTTGGTTTACCTAAAATAGTTCTTTATCTGCCACTTGATGAAGCATTTGAATTCATGAGGATCGAAGTCACTTGTCAACACACCTGAACTGTATGATTTATTTAAATCGTCCATAAATTTCGATTGACCTCCAGAGATTGCACCTTTGCTTCGGAAGAAACACAACCTGAATACACACACACATTTTTGCTCTGCATGGAAATGATGAACAACAATGACAATATGAAAAATAAGAGAACAAAAAATTCTTGACTTACCTGGACTCTTCACGCAAGGAGCAATATACGCGACATTGAAAGCCACTGTCATCGCCTGCGTCAATGTGTTTCAGCAATGACATCGAAAAACTAGTTTTTTCAACATACTCCGATTCTCCATTTTTTCTCCTCACACGAATTCCCATAGTTTTTTCTTGAATTTCAAATTCATAGTCTGAAGCCATATTCCTGCCTAGTTTATAGCTTACCAGAGTTTGTAAGGAAGATGTACCGAATGAAAGATATGTTGAAACGCCTCTCTATATATATGCTAAGGAATTTTTTGTGTTACGCCCCTTGTAAAAAAAGCTGAGGCCTCTAATTGGCTGAAAACAATCCAGACAATGAGCGGAAACTGCATGACGTACATTATATTGAACGTCGTGCATTGATCAAGTCTCAATTTGACGTAATAAAAAACATAAGTATTGTGATGCAGTGTGACAACCAATCTCTTTGTAGCTACTTCAAGTTTTTATATAATTTTCAGTCATCTTAACGTTTAAACTTTTATACTTAAGTGTTTTTTCTCCTTAAAATGATGTTTTTCCAGCCACAGTAATAAAGTTCAACAATTTTAATGATGCATGATAATGCATCTTCCGTTATCTTGTCCATGCATTTATTGACAATTGTTCAATAATGAAAAGGCGCATAAAATATTCATGTCATTTATAGCTGTTTTTCAAGATGTGACACTTTTGCACTCTGACTAATATAAAGGAAATTCAAATGGTACTTCACTTGATGGACGTTTAACACTCTCAGTGTAAAAGCATAAAAATACTTTCAGTGTTTTATTTGTGCTCTTCAGATTTTGAAAAATTCCTACTTACATTCATCTATTACAACATTTACCCTCAGAGATTTTCTAATTTAAAAGAATGCTTTTTATGCATGATATACTTATCAATTTGACTAGTTAAGCAATCAACATTAATGCTTCATATTTCTGCATTGATTTGCAAACATCTTTTTCGTACATTATCATAGTGCTAGCTTGGGTTTTAGCTAATATCAAAAATTTGATCAAAAGAAAATATTCATGATGTTGGAGCTTGTGTATGTTTTTGAAAGATATGTTCAAATTATGTGTAATATGACCAATATAAAAGAAATTTAATTCAGTCTGACAGTAATTTTGATTTTTCCTGTCAATTAAAAGAGAAAAGTATTCAGTATGTAATTCACTCTAAATAAGAAAGATTGCATCACAGTTTAAAATAAGCTATAAAGTTTTGTAAATTGCAGAAGTATATCAATTTGAGTTAAGGCACCATTGACATGTAGAAGGTATTCTTTCAATTTTTAATGTCCAGGAAACAGTTATTACGACATGGACTCTTGATTCTGTTTGAAACTTAAACCTGTACCAGACACCGATCCTTGGTAAAATAATTAGACATTAGTTACATATAGTAATATTAAGGTTCTGTCGAAGTTGCGGAGGAACTAACAGCAAGTGATCACTAACTGGCATATATGTACATATTTTAATTGAACGTTTAATAAAACTTGATTTTTTAATACTAATGTTGTATGTTTTTATTCAATATAACTTGTTGAAAAAACTAGGAATTGTGATGAAATTGTTCAAAGGAATGCTTGATTATATTTAGAGATGAGACGATTCGATTAATAGACGATACCTAGCGGGGGGGAATGGGGGGGGGTGATTTTCGAATGAACATTAATAGTCAAAACAGGTTAATCGAAACGCAATAAAGTGATAAAATAAAATTTTAAAGAAATGAAGGTTGAATGAACCACGCAATTCAATACTAGTAAAAATGACTATTATTTGTTTGTTGTAGATAATCGACCATGCATATATAATTGCTCATCTCCAATTACAGATGCGTAAATAAAAAGGGAATGAATTAGCTTTCCGTCTTACGAACGACTGGTAAAAGAGGTTTTTTACCAGTCTTATAGCATCTAACAGTATATTTGTTTCTGTGCTTTACCATTCTATGTAAGTAAAACAAATGATGTACTTTGGGCATAGCACACAGTATCTTCTTAAACCTGGAAAGCCAGACGAAAGTCTGTTCAGCAGCCATTGTATTTCCATTTGGGATTTCAGTTTTAAAGGCAAAGGATTGTATTTCTCCAGGCATTTCTCGTCTTTGTGATTTTTGATATGAAGGCTATCAATTATTTTACGAATTGACAGCCATGCTTTATCCCATGGTTGAGACCATGGCAAAACTTTTCGCTGCTTGTAAGCCATCTAGGTGGCACATGTTGTCATATGAAAAAAACGGAACTCCAATTCATTGGGTTGATTTCCTTTAACATAATGCGCAGCCAAGAAAGAGTTATCAAAACACTTGAGAAGGGCTTTCAGATCTGAAAATTAATTGTTATGTAAATGTATAATAAATACAAAGTTTTTCTGAAGATGCGCTTTGTCAAGCATTCTCTGTGCTTACCTATAAAGAGGACTCCATTTATCGATTATTCCTCCTCCTCTAACTATAAACAAATGCCCTCTTGACCACTTTTGAAGTCTTTGTTTTCCCCAGTTTCCTTATTGCATTTTGTTTTGTTGGTTCAACACAATCTCTTAAAATAGCTTTAATTGCATCTGGCTCATTATTAACGAACTCAGCATTGCCTATATGGTACAAATTAGCGTTAGCACTAGTTATCAATTGAGTTTCGAAACGACACACAATACACTGCTTTGTTGTTCCATGCATTGTTCAAAAAGAATGAAACACCTACACAAGGCTTTCTAAGTTCTAACCGACAAGAAATTTGTCAAGAGATTTGGTTTTCATTTACAAAAGAATGACTTTGAGGCTTGAGGCCTGAAACTTTTGACGCTACACTTTATAAACATTGAAAGTGCGAGAAGGCAAAGAAAAGCACGCAAAATCAAAATAATCCAAAGTAACAATTTCCCCACCATCACGCGTGCATGTATAACTATAATCCAAATGCTGTCATAAAAAGTTATTTTTCTATCTTAAAAAAATAATAAGTTATTAATTATCGGTACCAATGTATTGAAATTTCATCATATATATAATATGGATGAGGTTAAAAAAATTCAAATTCATGCCGTCATTCACAAACCTGCTTTATAACACACGGTCATCAACGACCACTTTTACGTTAGTAGGAAAACTTAGGTTTCACTGATATATATTACTATATTAGCTACAATGTAAAACTGTTTTTCATATTGTGAAATAAACAAATTTTAGACAAATATACCTTGTGACTCCACAACACTATTTCCTACTGGAAAAGTGTCGTCATCTTTATCAAGCTTTCCCAGTGTTTCGTCCATTTTTGACACGTCATTGTTAGAAAGCAGACCTGTGTCGTCAATCAATTCTTCACCTATAAAATAGAGTAATTCTTTGTAGTAATTTTCTGTCAGCTCTGTAATACACATATCATTGAGATAAATTTAGAGAAAGGGTACCAATTTCCTGCAAAATGCTATATACCAAAGCAAGAGCAGTTGTGATTAAGTGTAAAAGCTCTGTTAATATATCTCGAATTGATCATGAAAATCGGACTTTATTCTCAAGCATGATTATAGTCATGACAATTTTGGAGTACATACCTATGTTACTTGGCTTCACACCACAATATCTTAAAATCCACGCACACTAGTGGGTACATTAGGGAAGTTTTTTCCAAATATTGCACATGCTGTTCGCAGAATGCCTTTCCATGTTGAGGCGACTCAGTGCATACATTGGGATAGTTCAGCAATGGAATACCTTTTACAAAATTCTGAAAACAATTTCATATAATATTATTAAGTTACGAAAAGCAAAGGAGTAATTTTATATAAAACTAAGATAAGTACCTTTCTACGCATCATGCAATGAGGAAACATTAATTTCCATATTCCATCGGCAACCCATAGCCTTCCACATCCTATAAGTTTGATTACGAAAATATCTTAGCCTGATGAGAATCACAGCTATTTTCCAATAGAATATATTTATAGCTTTTAAACTAATTTTAAAATACAATTGCATCTAACTTACCGCGCTCTTTGCAAGTATCAGAACAATCATCTGATGTATGCTCGTACAAACTTCTCGCCCTAATTTTGTCGATTTGTTCTAGAACACTAGAAGAGTTCCCATCTTCTTTAAGCAAACCAAAAAAGTCCAGTTGCCCCAATTCCCTCAACTCATTCTCCATCTCGCCGACCCAAAATGAAGCAGCAACTTGTTTCTCCAAAATCTTTATATAAAACGCAAATAATGCTTACCATCAAAACTGTAACAACGTGATAACAGTAATACAGATCTACAACATATCGTTCTCTTACTGCCATTGTATACTTCATTAAACGCTTCAGAAAAACCGTTAAATGATACCCACGAATGACAACTATAGAAAACATGTTTCATTTGTAAAATCTACTTGCTATTTTAACATTAATTAATCAAGTGATTATATTGTAACTTACGCGAGTGACAGCTGCCACTGAAGCAAAGTTGAATCAACAAAACAGAGATCCGTAGCCTCGATCATTTTTCTTTGTTCGGGATATAACATCCAGCCATCTTTCCCATTACCGTACTTGGAATATCCATAAAGCAAATTACAGCGATTGCATCTAAGCGAAACTTTCACTCCATTGGTAGTTCCAGAAAGATCGTGTACCTGAACTTTTACTGGCTTATTGTACCTCACAAGGTCATGGTTGCACTTAATACATTTGGAGCATGGAGGTGTAAATACATGCAACTTCCTATCGGTTGTACTAGGAACTTTTAATTTAGAAGCGGACTGTAAAAGAACATTTACATCTTCTTCTTCTAAATTGGGACATACCAAAGCCAACACTTCTTTACGTACATTCACGGGGAGTACAAGCAAAGAAGACGCAACATTGGCAATAGAGCACACAAGTGACAACCCATATTTCAAAACAAGAACAAACAGAATTACATCAACATTTAGATCATTGCAGACTTTCAAATTAATAGATTGGATATCACTTAATATCCTCGACCCCACATATTCTTGATGTAGTTCCTGTTGACATCTTTTCGCAAATCGTCAACCGATTGACAATTGTTACGCCTGCGCTTCGACATATTTTCAGCTTTTCCTAGTCAGAAATGATTTCGGCTTTCCCCAGTGATCCAGTGAGAAATGACTTTGGCTTTTCCCAGTCAGAAGTCATGGGAAATACTATTATTATGCATATTAAGCAATCTCGATTGCAATTGGCTAAGAACCTACCTACACTGCTATAGGTGACATATCATATAATTGTCCATGCAAAATTGTAAATAAAAAAGTATAATGGCAGACTCTTGCTCGATATTTGCAAGCGTTTTGCAAACTTTTTTCGCTCGAATTATTGAGTATTAAGACGTAAAAATAAACGGAATGGGTTAAATTGTCAGTGAGGAGAGTTTTCATCGAGTTTTTTCGGGAGAAAGACGAATGCGACACTGCGGACATTACGTCATTCGAGTGTGATAGTGTGATGTCGTGTGATGCATCACAATATTGCTAGCCAAAGTAGCAAAAAATATATCGCGCATCAGATGCATATGCATATCTACATTTTACCTGGAATCTGTGTGAGAGTAAATGTGCTCATGATTCCAACATAAACCACGAAAATGGCTAAATGAAGGTAAAAAATCTAAAAAAATTCTTGTTGCTATTAAAAAGAAATATTATGTGTTTAATAATCTCTTATTCATTGCCTTGTCTTTAGATTCTATATCATACAATAAGATGTATGCAACTTTAACTAAACCAAGGTTGATTGCTGGAATCAAAGCTTCTCCAATGTCTCAAACAAGTGCATTGAGGGATTTCACTCAGTTCTTAACCAGTTTGCACCCAAAATGATAAGCTACTCTTTTCCTGGGATGTTCTGCAGGTATTCTATGAAACATGTGTGATGAAACACCAATGTGTCATTACAGTTTTTATTCCCTTGTTCCAATTTAAACTTTTTCAAGAAATTGAATGCAATTTTATATTTCATGAAGGCATATCCTTGCTGTAACTCACTTCAACAGCAATTTGGACAGGGATAATCAAGAGGTTAATGGAGTTCCCAGGTTAAAGTGCATTATCCAAAATTTAAAAATGGTGAAGCTGTTGTAAGAAATGTAAAAGATGCTCAGGATTTTGGTAAGGTTATTTAATACATTTCTCCTACTGCCAGATATTATGTGTTTAATGCCATAATAATGAAAGCCTTAATAAGAAATGATTACCATAAAATAAAATTTTGAATAATTTGCACATTGCTCCTCCAGGGTATGTTGAAGATATTTATCAAGTGTTGTGCTCTGCACTCATTGATGAGGAAACATTGAGAAAAGCCAAAGGTGATCTTTTACGAATGACTCCATTGCCAATGAATTCCATGTTGGACAAGCAATCAAAAAGTGAAGCTATCTCAAAAAAAGCAAGAAGAAAAAGCATGCCAGCTGTACATTTCCCCCCAACTAAGCCAGGTTTTACAAAAGGCATTACTTGCTTTGAGTTAATTTGAATCTTATTTTTGGAACTGACTCACTTTATTGTTTGATATAGCTGAAGTATCACCTGTCAAAGAAATAATCACTAATCAGAGAAATGAGAGAGCAGCACCTCGATGCACTGTGTGCAAGAATTGGATGAAAGGCCATAAAAATATAATGAACTGTCCAAAAAACCGAAAGTAACCAGTTTTTTTAGGACCTGGTGGTATGAGCCCAGTTAGTTGGGATTCAGTGAAGTGTGAATTGACTGCATGGACAGAATAAAGAGAAAGGAATTGTAATTTTGTATGTTTTGTATAACAAGTATAAGTGTGAATCAAAGATGCAATAAATCAAGAGTGGCTTAAATCATTCCACACTTCACTGAATCCCTACTAGCTGGGCTCATGCAAACACCTAAAATAATATATAATGTTATGTTATTTTACAAATTGTCCTCTTCATACCCTGCAAAGTGTTCATTTTTTTAAATTAGAAGTTTTAATAACATGGTAAGCACAATCTGGAATTGAAATTCTTTTGTCTCGATGCAACAACTCGATGAAACCTGAAAAGGCATAATACACAAGGTCCATTAAAACAGGTAGGAGTCCATAAAATACAAATTTTGCAAGTGTGCATTCATAGATAACCCAGACAGAAACATTTAACTAATAATTCTAACAAACCTTTGCTCCAAGAATCCTTTATGATATCTAACTCCATCTTGTCTTTGGTAAAGATTGGCAGCTAAATTTAATGCCCAGCGATTGAGGCAAATGGCATCAAATCCTGGATGCTCTGTTATGCATTTTGGCTGCCTTCCTAATTCGGATACCACCATATGATCTTGCATTCCAATCATGCAATTGGCAATTTCGTGGCAGCATCTACATTCTTTTGGATTAACCAAGAGAGGAACACGGCAGTTACCACAATGGCACCTACGAAAGTTATCTGTCAAAAGCTTCGGCAACAATAAATAAACAAATTTTCCAACTTTTCTTACCAAGAATCAAGAGGAACTTCATTTTGCATTCTGCGTTTGAGCTCTTCTGTTTGGCGTCTTTCTTCTTCTGTTTCTCTAATATACTTTTCTAACCACTCTTCATCTGCAAGTGGTTCGTTTTCATACGCTTCAGCTTGGCCATACTCAAAATCGCCATCGGTGTTTCGAGCGCATTTGATGACGATTGATCTTCGTCTTCTAAATCGAATTCCCGACTGTTCAATTCAATATTTTCCACTTTTGTTGCTGCACTCGATTCAGAATCAGATGTGGACATGTTTCGTACAATTTTTATATTAATTTCAAAGCAATATATAAAGAATTGTTATTTCACACTGTGTTGTTTTGTATGCAGCGCATTCATACGTTCCTTAAATGACGTCACAAACCTCTCGTTTTAAGTCCCCTCAGCGGCGCGGAAATTTCTCAAAAGCAAGCTAATTCAAACCCCCCCAAAAACTTTGTTTTTTCTTTTTTTACGAAATTTTTTTCGAAATCATATTTTCCACAGTCTAAACTTTAAAATTTCAACGAATTTGGAAATAACTGTATGTGCACTTTAAAGGTCACCTGAAATGCAAAATTCATATTTCTGTTTATTTGACATATAAAATGTATATATTGCGTAGACTATTCAAAGAAAATTTGAAAACAATCCCATGATTATTTTAAGAGATATCAACGTGTGAATTTGTGTTTTTTTTTGAATAGAAGTAAAAAATATTCCGTCGGTTTATCGTCGGAAAGTACTCGGCGTGACGTAATAGTTGCCATTGACATTTCGCGAGAGAAAGCGGCAAATATGAATTCATAAATAAAGTTTGATTTTGATCGGCTATTTTAAGATGGTTTACTGTGTCGCATTTAACTGCAAAAACGGTTCTTCTAAGAACCAATCTAACCTTTAAAGAACCAACCTTTAAAGTGGTTCTATGACGAAAACTTTACGTTAAAAATCATCGATTTTAGCATTCAATAGTTTAAACACATATCAATTATTGCTTTCGTAAAATGTAAACAAAAATAATAATATAACGAGGAAGTTATGAACATTTGAAATGTCTAATTTTTTTGTGACGGCAAATTCGAACGAATCTAATTCGGAAATTTTGCCATTTGTCGATAATACTGAGCCGCTTGTTTCGCCTGATGAAATTGCTGAGTACGAAGCTACAGTCGCAGAAGAACGGCGGGTTGAAGACATGCTGCAAGATCGTTTTGATGCCCGTGTTGACGTTACTTCATGGTAAGATGTCATTCTTAGTGTGTTACTTTGATCTAAATCGTCTGCCGTTAGCTATGATAAGTTTATGGAAACATACAATTTAGCCAATATTAAAGGTGTGAATGTGGCCATTGTTCGTTGGATCTTGTTGTCAACCTCAAGAGTGCCGATGCTGCATGGAAATAGAGCAATGCCGTGGTAAAATGTATCAGTTCGAAATCGATGAAAGGAAATGCATTTTGATCACCCTGGCTTTAACGAAGTTTGCCTGAACGAATTTGTTCTTCAAGCAGCTTCGTCAGGTTTAAAGACCAAAGGTCATCGCATGATACAGACACTTCATTTTGTATTTCCTTTAAAACCTTAGTATAAATGTATATTATATATTGAAAGTTTGCTTGGATGTATTATTGGTTCTCTCAAATTGTGAAAATTTATCATCTGCAATATGTGTAAGTATATAATAATTGCAACTTGTGCAAACCTGACGCCGCTCTCTTGACGTTGTTGGTGTTTGTGATTTCTTCCAAATAGTAGGTACGGCACCAGGTTTCATACCAGCCAAATGGAATAAACGCTCAAAACAATCATCCGAGAAGTGATTCGAACAAATCATAAATCGAATTTTGCGCGAACTCGGATTAAAGTTTGCGCGCTTCGTCTGAACAAATTTAACCCAAATTCTTCTCAAAGACTCGTCGTTTGGGCTTTTATGTAATGAAATGCCTGTACTTCTATCAGACTTATAACTGCAATCTTGCACGACACAGCGTGTTGAAGGCATGTTAAAAAAATTGAGTTTTACAACCTTTATATCTCTATTTGTATATAGTGTTATATTGTAAACAGCCGCGAGTTAAGACTATGACGTCACAAGCACCTTCCTTCTCGAAAATTCAAATATGGCGCATTTTAATGGCGGCTTTTAAAGTTCAAGTTTTATCGCTACGTAACTTGAGCAGCATGAAATATATTGCGCTAAATTTCGCCAGAAGAGATTTTTACATACACTATTAATCTATGAAAAAAGAAACGAGAGGCAAAATTTTCGTCATAGTACCACTTCAACTATCCGACAAAATACGTTTTTGCAACACAAAGTTAAGGAGTTAACTATGGTAGTTAGCGTTAACTATAATTAAAGTTAACTACGTTTTATACAACCGGCCCCTGACAATTTTCAAAAGCAAATGTTTTGTAAAATGCATCAAAACAAATTTTAAAGTTTAGTAACCACAAATACAATTAATAGCTTTTTTTTTCTTGAAAAAATATTTACGACGCTTTACAACGATGTGTAAATATCGAGTTTGAATTATCCGCTACAGTGTAGGGTCTCCAACTAGTCCGCGGGCCAGATGCGGCCCGTTGGGCCTCTATCCGGCCCGCAGAGACACTTAAGGAAAAAAATAATATTATTAAACAAAATAAACTTCGTGCAGAAAGTTCACCTTATGACGCAAGCCAACTAGCAAGAGTGGCTTACGTCAATTTTGTCCGAACTTCCTACTTCCGCTCAAGCACATTGCGAAGTTTAAAAAGCTGAAGGTAACGTGCAAATTTGTTATATTTCAATGCTCCATATATCTCATGTGGCCTCTGGCTGTAAGTTTGAGACCCCTGCGCTACACGTACAGTGGGTTATCAAAAAGTGTTCCCCATAAAAATAGGTTTAGGTACATAAAATTCAGTAATTACAGTTTAAAAATATTATGATACTCTAACAAGATATATGTAGCAAAGAACAATACTAGCAGTACTTTACGCACTATGAAAATGCGAAAAGCTAACTATCGTTGAATTATGTAAAAATATGCATTTTCCATTAGTAATTTGAGACAATAATCAAGGTAACAGACAAACTCACAAAACGTACATATGCCAAAATGTCAGCCCAGCAACAATGAAATAATTCGGTTGATTAATACATATTGCAACAAAACGTAACACTAACATCAGGCAATTTTCAAAATACACGGAAAAAAGGCTGAGATGTCAATTCCCAACAGCATGTGTGGCGAACAAATAGATTTTGCAAAGTTTATGAACTAACAACCCCATATTTAATGGAGGGCCATTTTTTGGTCACACACTGTACTTTGCTTTGCAACTGAAATAGAAGGCTAGACTTTATCCAAACTTGTTTCATAAATAAATTGCACATTAGTGCATTAATATATCAGTATAAATCTCAATAAATTCCTAAACACGAATTGCCACTTCAATGTTATAAATTTTCAAATCAAAAGTCGTTCCTTTTACAATTCCCTTCTCGTGAAAACTGGGAAACCGTACAACGAAACTAAGAAAATATTTACTTGTTTAATGTAAACGAAACTACAGAAATTTCTGAAAAATCGACGTTTGCAAATATATCGTGAGAATTTTGTAAATCATCACAATCACGGCAATTTCTACACTTACATATAGACCGTGATTAGAGACGCAAGAAATAATCAATTCCTTAAATTCAGATCACGTTACGTTCACAATATTCTTTTAGTAGCAAATGCTTTAACAATAACATATTGATACTAGGAAAAGAAAATTTGAAATTTACCTACCCATAGTAGGGATGAAGTACAATATCGTGGCATATCCAAGTTAGTATCGATTAAAGTAGAACGATATCGACCATCTAATTCAGAAACTTCAATTCGTTTTCTTCCAGCATCTGTCCAATACAACTTTCCTGTGACCCAATCTACTGCAAGACCATCTGGGGAAGCAACATTTTTAACAATAATTTTTTTATCATGTTCTATTTTGCTACTCAGGTTAGTCTGTTGAATTGAATTGCTTTTAATGCCAGTCCAAAACATCAAGGCCTTGCCAAAATGATAGTCTACTGCGATGATTCCTGCGAAATGAGGAACTATGCCAAAGAAGTCGGACTGTTTCTTGTGTAAAGTGAGTTTTCTGATGGAATAATGATCAGAAAATACGAGGTACGGGTGTCTATCTAAAAATAAGAAAACAACAAGTAAAAATAAAATTTGAGAACAAATGGGAGCATTCCATAGATCAAGTATCAAACAAACAGAAATATATCAAAGGAAACACGAGGAAGACACTAAACATAAATAAATACATGTCCTTATAAATATTTGCAATAATTATAAACACCTATAGCTTTGCAAGTTCGATGGTCCTTATCCAAGCGATAGCCAGCAACACAACTGCATCTTAATGGCTGGGCAGTCTTGTTAAACACCTCACAGATCTGACTACACTGCTGAAATTCATCACATTCGTCAATTTCTAAATAAGCAAAACCATTAAGAAATTGCAAAGAATACAATCGAAGTTAACAATGTTTACTTCTACAAGTCTTTTCATCTTCTTCAAGTTTATATCCTGGACGACAAGAGCAAAAATGACCAAATTTTAATTTGTTACATTTATGGTCACATCCACCATTGTCATTAGAGCATTGTGGTTCACCTAGAATAGACACCAAACACAAGTTTCTAGTGCATTCATTTAAGCATTTATAAACTCTAAATTGTTACATACATTGTGACACATCAAATTTGCTAAAAATGCATGAACATTATATCACTATATAAATATATGTTTGAGGACATTTTACTAAGAGATGCCAATTAATCAGCCTATAGCTCACTTTTTAGCAATTATGTGCAATGTAGGTTGTGACAAACTCATTCCAAGGTTGTAATTCTTATTGATTGGTGTTTTTGTTAAGGGTTGTTTTGATAATAGTTTAAAATCCTGTTTAAATAATTTGAACCAAATTTACTGTCTATTTATTTAGCTAACTGTAAAACAAACATTAACTTTTCTTTTAACATCTACAAGAGCCAGATACAACCTGTGTTAGTTAAATTTGACAAATTAGTTACAAAATTCTAGCTGTGCTAAGTTATGTGTAAAACAAATTGTTTTCAGGTTTATATGGGCAAAGGTCCGTTGTCAATAGAAATATTTATATTTTCAAACAATTAAAACTATTGAGAAGAAATCTGTCAATTTTTCTACAAAACTCAGCTTACCACACTTGTACTTTTCATCTGTACCATTGGGACAATCATTGTCACCATTACACAGCATCGATCTTTTAATGCACTTTTTAGAAATGGGACACATAAACTCATCTTTTTCACATTCTACAAAACCCATAATCACTGACTTAAAACCTGTTTGACTGTTAACCTAAAGTTCATCATTTATGATAATCAACATGTAAAATATCAAAAGCATTTGCTTTAGCAATATTTTAAATAATAATTATCTCTTATGGATTTTAAGCAAAACACTTATATTTCAATATATTAATTAATTATACTTCAGATGGATTTTTAAAGTAAAATTCCACAAACAAAACAGATCTTCTCAATATAGTGTAAAAGATATTTAAGATGAGAATATATGATATTCATATTAAAGAATAGGAAATCAAGAGTATGTAACCAATGTGACAACTGTTATACACTAGTTTCATCCTAACAAATTGTTTTACACTAGTTTTAATGGTACCATAGTTAAATTGACTAAATTTTGTACCTTTACTACAGTGCTTTTCATCATCACCAGATGTGCAATCACAGTCACCATCACAAACCCACTTATAAGGAATACAACTTCCATCCTTACAGTCAAATCGATCAACATTACATTTTTTCTATGTTTATGAGTTGAATTACAATTAGGTGGTTCATCAGATTGATCTTCACAATCGAGTGACCATCACAGTATGCTTCTTTCAAGATGCAACGCTTCTTTATTGTACACTGGAACTCCAAATCATGCTTACACTCTGTATAAGCTGCAATTGGCAGAAAATTTAGTTTACTAATCCCATGTACTTCACTCATATGTGGGAATAAATGAAAAGCTTAAAGGACAAAGTGTACAAACAATGGCACAGGTCAGCAAAGTTTTGCTGATCTAATTTTGATAAGTAATGTTTTAGGTAAGACTGCTGAATGCTGATTTGAGTTTCAAAGACTGAATACTTATGTGTTTTTCAAAACAGTACATTCTAATCAGTAGCAAATCCAGGGTAGTCAAAATACATTACTGAAATTTATTTCCATTTAATTTAAAATACTTTGAAGTGAATCTTATTGGGAGTATTTTAGTGTTAAATATACTTTGGAAAATTTTAACCAACAAGATTGTTAAAAAATACTGTTGAATTAAAAACGAGCTTCCATAATTTATTTTGATGTACCCTAGATTTACCACTGGCTCTAAAAAATTTGGGTTCTGGGTGCATAATTTATAAAAACTGTAACAGTGACTTGTTTCAAGATACATTGTACCTAGTCCCAGTTGACAAGATGAATGAGCCAAACTTACTGCAATTTTCTTCATCAGAATGGTCATCACAGTCATCATTATGATCACACTTCCAATTTATATCAATACACTGGTTATTATTGCATTGAAATGATAATTTAGGACAAGGACGCACACCTATTATATGTACAAATAAAACCACAATAAATATTCTTAGTGAGTTTTATATGAAAATGAACATGAAAAAGATGAAATCTGTTATCATAAACAAATTCACCACAGTCAAATTCATCACTTCCATCATCACAATCTTTATAATTATCACATTTCCAAGATTCAATGATACATTTTTTACTGTCTTGACACTTGAACTTGTTGTCAGAACAAGATATATTTGCTACAATAAAGAGACTGGTTACAAAATTATCACGTCACAACAGAGACACCAAACAAAAATGACTATACCACAATGTGAAGGTGATTCATCAGATCCATCTTTACAATCTTTGTAACCATCACAAATCATATATTTAAATTTACACTCTTTACCACAAGAAAACTTCTCTTGTGGACAAGAACCTAGAAAAGATATATCACAAATGCTACATAAAACACATGTATTTAGTCAACTCCAATGATTGCTTGGTGAAGAAACACCACAAAGATAAAAAATTAGTGCAAAAGTAAATTTCAAAGTAAAAATATAACATCAAGATGTGCAAAGGAGGAACACCTACTCACACACACAATACTGAAGTTTCATGTTTTAAAGATTGAAAATGTCAACAATCATTAATTAATTGGAACGCCTAGTATCAAGCCAAAAATGAAAGAAACTTAAAGTAATCACAAAGGTTCAAAAATATGCCATAAAAATTTTCGTTGTCAATATCCTTTAAGCGTCGATTTCCAGTCAGCTATCTTATCTGCACACACTGTTGACACACAAAATTACAAACTGTACAGTTGATTACCACAATTCATTTCATCGGAATGGTCAGAACAATCGTTTACACCGTCACACTCCCAATCTTTGGGCATGCACTTTCCATCGCTCTTACATTTAAACTGTACTTCGTCCGGTTTGCATGAGAAGTCTATATAAAGAACAAGTAACAATACTGTAATACAATATTTCGCATTCTATCAAAATACTACATTTGCCATAACAGCAGTAAAATAAAAGAATCTAGTAGAAAGATTTCGTTCGTTTGTAGTTATTAGGATTTAATCCCATTTACAACTACTTAACACGACAACAAAATAACAAATGGGTTATAACAAAACAACAGTTATGTGAACTTATTCAACAACGTCAACGCTGAATCTTTGTTTTGTTACGTTGTACACGCACCGCTTGCCTTTGACTTTAAAAAATAAACAGAAATGGCTAAATACACCAATAAATAGATTCCTTTGCTCTTTCTGTTTATCACCACCATATTAATAATTTTCAAGTGAATGCAATCTGTTCAATTAAAATAAAGAAATCCATGTTTTAGATTTTCGTCAGCAATCTAGTCCTATTATATCTATGTTACAAACGCTCCGGATACCTGGAATCAATATTGCAAGTGCCCAATGCGCATCTTTTAACCATAATCCTGATCGTAAACTTAGAGTACAAACACTAACAGTCAACTCGACTTAAAATATTTGTTTGTCCTAATTTCTTGCTTTTATGTCATGTGTCGTGACATAAGCATGTCATGTCACATTTCGTTCGTTTGTAGTTATTAGGATTTAATACCATTTACAACTACTTAACACGACAACAAAATAACAAATCGGTTATAACAAAACAACAGTATAAGCACGTCATAAGCATGTGTTCATGACATTGCGTTTGTAATTTTCAATACAATATGGCGCGAAACAATAAAACGATACGAAATCAATTATACTTTTATACCATATATGGTACAACAAAAGCACGTGAATCAAATTAGGACTTTGATTGGCGCTGGCCGGCAAGAACAGCTGTTACGTTTTCATTCATGCTTCGTGCAATATGAGTGATTGTGAGAAGTTAGCATTTGATTGGGTGATCAGTAAACGTTGGTCTACAATTTGAAATTTTGCACTAGGATGGGATGAAAAAGCCCTTTTAATTACAAGCAAATGATACAACTTTGTAACGAGGTGAAGGCTATTTCAGATATGGTAGAGCACCTTGTGCCCAGGCCCTTTAGCTTTAACTTGTCTACTTAAAGCTATTAATAATTAATTTCAGCATATTTACATATTACATCGCGCTTACTCTTTTCGCAACATGGAAGATTATACTTTATCTGATTTATATATTCCATAAATTGACAATATTGTCAACGAAGAAAATCCTTTTTCGGTTATGTAAGTTCTTTGGAAAAGCGCTTGAGCTCGTGAGGGATTTTGAAAACGCGACCACGACAAAATTCACAGTCTTCACGAAAACAAAGAGCTTTGGAGCCACCGGTAAAATGCGTTTTGAGCGCGAATATTTGAAATATCTACCGTGATGATGCAATCATCACACATTATTAAGTATTTATTTTAGTAGAATGTCGAATACATTTGTTGAACCAAGTATAAATCAATAAAATCAGTAGGTTTAAAATGTAATGTTTATCTGCAGCTAAGTATTTACGGAAGTTGTTAGGATTCATCTTGTGCATTTCCTGCTGTATAATATCAATATAATAATCGTACATGGTCATGGCCTGTTTTAATTTATTAAAAGTGCACCTTGTTAACGAAATTAAAATCTCCTCATCTTCACGTAACATATTATATTGCTTCGCTGTATGTTAACATAATCTATGAAAACTACTGTTACAATGGTTTTGTGCGTTAGACCAAAATGACCTAAAACCACACCGTATTTGGTGGGAATCTAAACCGGTACTGAAAAGCCCATCCCTTTTGATGGAGTACCGTTCTATTTGGTTGGAACGAATGTCTTGGAATGCCAACACGGTGTAGACAGAAACGTTTATCAGAAAAAAAAACATGAATCAAATCTCATGGTAATTATTCTAGATGACACCACTACTCTTCATAAATTCTTTAGGTAATGAAAGTAAATTGGACTTAAAATTAAAGTTTTACTCATATTACAGGGCGACCGTGGAGATCATACTATAAAACAGAGACGTTTCTGAAGCAAGATAGTAAAAACTTGATTGCACAGCCATCATACAAATGAAAGAAGTAATAAAGTTTCCAGAATACAAGGTATATTACTAATAAAAAGAAAATTGCTTATACTGTGGCTTTATTTTGTTCATAGTAAATCGACAAGTATACACATGTTAAATTGGTTTGTTTCTAAAAGATTAGAGTGCAATATTTTTAGGTGCCACATGACGCTAAAAAGAAGAAACGTGACACGACCTCTGCTGATTTGCGAGCCCATTTAATAAACCCCAGCTCCTCAGTAAAAACTGAATGCAGAATCTATATTTCATTTCCAAGGCCAGAAGATCACACCACGCATAGACTTGGAATGGTATATGCTCTTGTTTGACATGCTCGCCTTGCAATCTGTAGACAAGAACATCACAATCATTTGTGGCATGTGCATGATAAAATTCATGACACTAACTAGTTTTGCCTTTGCTATTTCAGCACAGCGGAATGACACAACAACTAGATGAAAAGGTTATTAGAAAGATAGAAGAACTTGTCAGTGAAGGAGTGCGAACTGTTCATGAGATGAAACGCCATTTGAAAATATACATGAAGGATGAGTTGTATTCTCTTCTGGTTTTTCTAAAAGAAAAACCATAAGAGGAAGTATCGAAAATCTTCAAGAGTCTTGGTTACCCCTTCACCATTCATAAAACATCATTATCCAATGTTGGCTCACTCACACATGGCCAGTGCTCCTTGGTGCACTTCACTGGCTTATGGAACTTGTCAAGGTTGAATTTTGTACAAACTGAAATTGAAGATTGATGAGTTTGCCCAAACATTTTAAAGCTGATTTCTTTTCTTTCTTTTTTTTCAGTTGGCTCAAAATGTTAATGACACCATCGACGAATGTCTGTTTCCCATGAATGATGAGGACAAGGTAAGTTCTTATCTCTATCAAAATGTCTTTGCAGTCTGAATGCCATAACATGTGATAACATGTGTTTCAAATGTACCTAGTTTAATATTGCTGTGACAGTCATAGATATATGGGATGTTTATGCTTGATTTTCCAATGAATTGTTTTAATATACCAAACAATTAAGCGAAATGTAAATGTCTGACATGATAGGGCAAAACCTGCAAAGTATCTTCAGAAAATCTAATCTAAACCAAAGCAACCACTACTAAATCATTCCAGATCCATCTCTGTATTCAGCAGATGTTTCTGCCACTGTTAATGTCTCACTATGTACACCTTTGTCTTGTTAACCAGTTGTATTTTGATTACCTTGAGAAAGCGTACGAAGCGTTTATTTACGGTCAAGACTTAGATAATCTGGATGAGTACACAGAAGCACTATATGAAGAACTGAGTGAGTGAAGTTGTCATTGCATCAATTCCTGTAACCTTTGGTAGTGACCTACAAGATTTATGCATGTATCTGTTTCTATTAATGTAGGAAACAAGAATGCTCCACTTATTGCTGGTAAATGTGTATTGTTGAAAAATTATGTGCATCGTCACTTTGTAATGTACAATTTTATGATTTTCATATTCCAGAAAACGAAGAGCTGAGTCACGAAAACAAGCTACTGGAGGAAGAACTGGCGAGACTTGAAAGTGAACCGGTAGGAAAGATATTGTGTCGTGAAATTTTGAGAACTTCAAATTGCTTATTTCTAAATGTGAGTGTGAGCAAAATAATCGCAAACGGTTGGGTACTTTTACGTACATGTGTGAACATTTTGGAAAATCGCTCATATACATTGTTCAGAGCCAAAACTTTGGCCACTGGTGAAGCTCCATCACTGAAAAAATTACTGTGACATAATTTATGACATAATTTGGCTGATCCTAGGAATGGCTCGGTTTTCCGATTTTCATTCAGATTATTTGGCCAAAACTCGTACTGTGATTTTTCTTGCACGGAGCTTCATTTGTGCAAAATTAATTTAAAGGATTTTCCACAAATGTTCCTATACACGTTCATCCCTTTAAAGGTGCATCTTGTTAAAGTGAGCTACGTGTTTGAAATTTGTCATGCATCCTTTTGGTTGAGGGAGGGTGGGGGTGGGTCGCTTCCGCTTTTATAAATACATACTTTTGTATTTCATATTATCTTTGAAATTACCCTCCCCCTTTTTACCTCCCTTTTATCTCCATCTTTTCACAGTTGATAGATGTGTAGCTAACAGTCTTAACATATTCATACTTAACCTAGTCAAAGCTTGAAGCATTAGTGGAACAAAAGAGAACACTAGAGCTCGACAAGTAAGAGAAGATTTACCGTGATCTTGCTTCCACCATCTACGTTGTATTAATTTGTGGAAACATGTACTGGGATGTTGTCGATTCTTAGGACTAAATTCGAGACCTACATCACTGATCTCGAGAAGCATCGTCTCAAACTTGAGGAAAGAAAATTCAGAACGAAGAAGAATTGAATGATCTCAGTAAGTGCAGTGTGGTGTCTTGAGGCATCCTCTTACACTTGCGTAGGGTGAACTACCCCTCCAATGTACAAGCCCTATCCTGAGTATGTCCAGTTAGGTCACCCAAATCGTGAATCTCAACTCACTTTCACAGAAAACCCTACCGCTTATACGCTGACCCGTAGATAAGCACATTTACTTGTGTAATGTTTATAGATCACTTCAGTACGTACGTACGTATAATATAGTCCATGCAATACTTCTGCCTCACCCCTCCCCGCTAAATTAGCGTCCATGTATAAGTCCATTTGTAAATTATGAAGGCTAAAGGTAGTGTATAGTACTTATTTTCTTCTGACAAAATATATCGACTGACCGAAGTTTGATATCTTAGATCTGGAGTACACAGCAACATCAAGAGAGAAAGAGCAGTTGGAGGTTTTGCACAGTTGATCAATATTCTTATCTTTACTGTATTGCAGGCTTTTATCGTATGAATCAAGAAGGTTTTGTTCTTTCGTTGAATTTTTAGAAAGTGCTTGCAAAGCAAGAACTTAGTGCGGCTGATGTGCAACGCATGAAATATAAAGCTGACGAGCAAAGGAGAATTTTAGAAAACTCCATGAAAGAAGCGATACGCTGGATGAAAACATATGGGAGACCGAAATGAATCATGCGCGCAGATACGAGCAGGTATATTTGAAATTTACTGACAACAACCACTGGCGGGAAATTTATATAGGGGTTAATATCGAGGTGCCTTCTCCCTATAGCATGAGATTTCCCATCACATTCTATCCAGAACAAAAGTTGCAAAACAGTCAAGGTTTAACACCGTAATAGTACAGAATTCTATCAAATAGTCATAGTTAAGAACGACAGAAGGTGTACATTATGCAGGTTTCATTTCTATTAATTAAAAACGTAAGACTGAAACGAGTTTAATATAATTCTTAAGAGCCAATGGTATACGACATTGCCATTACCGCATATGTAGTATAACTCGTGAACGTAAGACTGAAAATTTATTCGCTGTTGCAAAAATATAAGGTGCTTGTTGACGAAATGAAGAGAAAAAATGAACTACACGTCCAAAAATTTCTTGATAAGCATTACAAGCTTAAAAAGGCCATGTCAAAAATACAAAGTGAATAAACTATTTTATCTGTCTTTCTATAAGATCTCGACGTGCATAGTTGTCATTTTTACTGCTCTCCATATATACAGATTTATATAAATATTTATGCATAGTTCTTATAATGTTTATTCTACTCACATTCATACATGTGTTCAGTGGCAA